CAAGAAAATATCTCCAAATTGGCGGGTTCTAGCGGAACACAGGTATATATTTAGAGATCCTACTGATAAATTTTCTTTAAACTTTCCAGATAGTTGTATGGCTATCAGACGGATAATCTGTGCAAGTTTGGGTGAATTTCTATGTGCCAAACTTGAGATATGACTTCAAACACAAGAAAATATCTCCAAATTGGCGGGTTCTAGCGGAACACAGGTATATATTTAGAGATCCTACTGATAAATTTTCTTTAAACTTTCCAGATAGTTGTATGGCTATGAGACAGATGATCTGAGCAAGTTTGGGCGAATTTCTATGTGACAAACTTGAGATATGACTTCAAACACAAGAAAATATCTCCAAATTGGCGGGTTCTAGCGGAACACAGGTATATATTTAGAGATCCTACTGATAAATTTTCTTTAAACTTTCCAGATAGTTGTATGGCTATGAGACAGATGATCTGAGCAAGTTTGGGCGAATTTCTATGTGCCAAACTTAAGATATGACTTCAAACACAAGAAAATATCTCCAAATTGGCGGGTTCTAGCGGAACACAGGTATATATTTAGAGATCTGAATGATAAATTTTCTTTAAACTTACCAGATAGTTGTATGGCTATCAGACGGATAATCTGTGCGATTTTGGGCGAGTTTCTATGTGCCAAACTTGAGATATGACTTCAAACACAAGAAAATATCTCCAAATTGGCGGGTTCTAGCGGAACACAGACACATATTTCGAGATCCTACTGATAAATTTTCTTTAAACTTTCCAGATAGTTACATGGCTATAAGACGGAAAATCTGAGCAAGTTTGGGCGAATTTCTATGTGCAAAACTTAAGATATGACTTCAAACACAAGAAAATATCTCAAATTGGCGCGTTCTAGCGGAACACAGGCACATATTTCGAGATCCTACTGATAAATTTTCTTTAAACTTTCCAGATAGTTGTATGGCTATGAGACAGATAATCTGAGCAAGTTTGGGCGAATTTCTATGTGCCAAACTTGAGATATGACTTCAAACACAAGAAAATATCTCAAATGGGCGCGTTCTAGCGGAACGCAGGCACATATTTCGAGATCCTACTGATAAATTTTCTTTGAACTTTCCAGATAGTTACATGGCTATAAGACGGATAATCTGAGCAAGTTTGGGCGAATTTCTATGTGCCAAACTTGAGATATGACTTCAAACACAAGAAAATATCTCCAAATTGGCGGGTTCTAGCGGAACACAGGTATATATTTAGAGATGTGAATGATAGATTTTCTTTAAACTTTCCAGATAGTTGTATGGCTATCAGACGGATAATCTGTGCGATTTTGGGCGAGTTTCTATGTGCCAAACTTGAGATATGACTTTAAACACACGAACACATCTCAAAGTGGCGGTTTTGGTACAATATTTGTCGAAAGTCGATTATTTTGAGATCCTACTGAGCTACTGATACATTTTCTTTAAACTTTCCAGATAGTTGTATGGCTATGAGACAGATAATCTGAGCAAGTTTGGGCGAATTTCTATGTGCCAAACTTGAGATATGACTTTAAACACAAGAAAATATCTCAAAATGGCGGTTTCTAGCCCAAAATCGCACATAATATCCGTCTTAAAGCCATACAACTATCTGAAAGTTTAAAGAAAATTTATCAGTAGGATCTCGAAATATGTGCCTGCGTTCCGCTAGAAACCGCCATTTTGAGAATTTTCTTGTGTTTGAAGTCATATCTCAGGTTTGGCACATAGAAATTCGCCCAAAATCACACAGAATATCCGTCTCATAGCCATACAACTATCTGGAAAGTTTAAAGAAAAATTATCAGTAGGATCTCGAAATATGTGCCTGCGTTCCGCTAGAAACCGCCATTATGAGATATTTTCTTGTGTTTGAAGTCATATCTCAAGTTTGGCACATAGAAATTCGCCCAAACTTGCTCAGATTATCTGTCTCATAGCCATACAACTATCTGGAAAGTTTAAAGAAAATTTATCAGTAGGATCTCAAAATAATCGACTTTCGTCAAATATCGTTCCGAAACCGCCAATTTGAGATGTTTTCATGGGTTTGAAGTCATATCTCAAGTTTGGCACATAGAAATTCGCCCAAACTTGCTCAGATTATCTGTCTCATAGCCATACAACTATCTGGAAAATTTAAAGAAAATTTATCAGTAGGATCTCGAAATATGTGCCTGTGTTCCGCTAGAACGCGCCAATTTGAGATATTTTCTTGTGTTTGAAGTCATATCTCAGGTTTGGCACATAGAAATTCGCCCAAAATCGCACATAATATCCGTCTCACAGCCATACAACTATCTGGAAAGTTAAAGAAAATTTATCAGTAGGATCTCGAAATATGTGCCTGCGTTCCGCTAGAAACCGCCATTTTGAGATATTTTCTTGTGTTTGAAGTCATATCTCAGGTTTAGCACATAGAAATTCGCCCAAAATCGCACAGAATATCCGTCTCATAGCCATACAACTATCTGGAAAGTTTAAAGAAATTTATCATTAGGATCTCGAAATATGTGCCTGCGTTCCGCTAGAAACCGCCATTTTGAGATATTTTCTTGTGTTTGAAGTCATATCTCAGGTTTGGCACATAGAAATTCGCCCAAAATCGCACATAATATCCGTCTCACAGCCATACAACTATCTGGAAAGTTTAAAGAAAATTTATCAGTAGGATCTCGAAATATGTGCCTGCGTTCCGCTAGAAACCGCCATTTTGAGATATTTTCTTGTGTTTGAAGTCATATCTCAGGTTTGGCACATAGAAATTCGCCCAAAATCGCACATAATATCCGTCTCACAGCCATACAACTATCTGGAAAGTTTAAAGAAAATTTATCAGTAGGATCTCAAAATAATCGACTTCGTCAAATATCGTTCCGAAACCTCCAATTTGAGATGTTTTCATGAGTTTGAAGTCATATCTCAATTTTGGCACATAGAAATTCGCCCAAACTTGCTCAGATTATTTGTCTCATAGCCATACAACTATCTGGAAAATTTGAAGAAAATTTATCAGTAGGACCTCGAAATATGTGCCTGTGTTCCGCTAGAACGCGCCAATTTGAGATATTTTCTTGTGTTTGAAGTCATATCTCAGGTTTGGCACATAGAAATTCGCCCAAAATCGCACATAATATCCGTCTCACAGCCATACAACTATCTGGAAAGTTTAAAGAAAATTTATCAGTAGGATCTCGAAATATGTGCCTGCGTTCCGCTAGAAACCGCCATTTTGAGATATTTCTTGTGTTTGAAGTCATATCTCAGGTTTGGCGCATAGAATTCGCCCAAAATCGCACAGAATATCCGTTTCATAGCCATACAACTATCTGGAAAGTTTAAAGAAAATTTATCAGTAGGATCTCGAAATATGTGCCTGCGTTCCGCTAGAAACCGCCATTTTGAGATATTTTCTTGTGTTTGAAGTCATATCTCAGGTTTAGCACATAGAAATTCGCCCAAAATCGCACAGAATATCCGTCTCATAGCCATACAACTATCTGGAAAGTTTAAAGAAAATTTATCAGTAGGATCTCAAGATAATCGACTTTTGTCAAATATTGTTCCGCGGTACAAATGGAACAGAAAGTCCAACTCCAACATCAAATTCACTGTCCATATTTTGTAACAAAATCTAAAATTTCATAATACATGGTGTTGTATATGTTTTAATATCACTATAACTAAAGCGGACAAGCTTTTTGTTTTACAACAATATCATTCGGTCTCCTTGTCACTGTAACACCTGGAAAGAAACACGAAGATTGAACAGCGAGACAGAGAATGGGCAGTGAGACAGAAATTGAACAGTGAGACAGAGAATGAACACCGAGAAAGATTGAAAGGTAAGACAGGGAATTAACTCTAAAATAGAGAATGAACACTGATGCAGAGATTGAACAATGAGACGGAGAATTAACGTCGAGACAGGAATGAACAGTGATTTAATAGTTAAACAGAGAATGATCACTGAGAAAGAGATTGAATAGTTAATCAGATAATGAACGTCGAGACAGATTGAATAGTGAGACGGAGAATGAACGTCGAGACAGAGAATGAACATTGAGACAGATTGAATAGTGAGACGGATAATGAATGTCGAGACAGAGAATGAACGCTGAGACAAAGATTGAACAGTTAAACAAGAAAATGAACAGTGAGACAGAGATTGAATAGTTAAACAGATAATGAACATTGAGACAGATTGAATAGTGAGACGGAGAATGAACGTCGGGACAGAGAATGAACATTGAGACAGATTGAATAGTGAGACGGAAAATGAACGTCGAGACAGAGAATGAACATTGAAACAGATTGAATAGTGAGACGGATAATGAATGTCAAGACAGAGAATGAACGCTGAGACAAAGATAGAATAGTTAAACAAGAAAATGAACAGTGAGACAGATATTGAACAGTTAAACAGATAATGAACGTTGCGACAGATGAATAGTGAGACGGAGAATGAACGTCGAGACAGAGAATGAACAGTGAGACAGATATTGAATAGTGAGACAGAGAATTAACGTCGAGACAGGAATGAACAGTGATTTAATAGTTAAACAACGAATGATCACTGAGAAAGAGATTGAATAGTTCAACAGATAATACACGTTGAGACGGATTGAATAGTGAGACGGAGAATGAACGTCGAGACAGAGAATGAACATTGAGGACAGATTGAATAGTGAGACGTAGACGGATAATGAATGTCGAGACAGAGAATTAACGCTGAGACAAAGATTGAATAGTTAAACAAGAAAATGAACACTGAGACAGAGATTGAATAGTTAAACAGAGAATGAACGTTGAGACAGATTGAATAGTGGGAGGAGACAGATCGAATAGTTAGACGGAGAATATCATATTATGGTTAGTTTAATATCTAATATCTAAAATGCTGCACGGCTTTTAAAGTAATATATTATCAAATATAATCGTATTTAATATAATCGTATCAAATATAATCGTATCTATATTAGTTTCTTTTGTAAATATAGGATGCCACATCATTGGCGGTATCTGACAGTTTCTTTAAACATAATGCACGGACATCATCGTCCATCACGTCAAACTCGGGATCATTAATGAAGGAAGTTATTCTGTTTGAAAGCTCCCGCCAATCTCCTTTATAGTCTATGTCCCGTTTCTTCTTTCTTTTATCCCCATTTTCTCCAACCTCATCATCTTCTACTTCTTCATCCTCATCTTCTGATGCTGGATAATCGCAGCATTTGTTTACATCTGCATCAGCTGGCCATATCCCAATATCACTTCCTGCAAAAATAATATCGGATTTTATATTTTGATTATTATAAGAATTGGAAGCAAAGCAATATTAGGGAAAACCTGGCAAACCCTGCGGAGATGTGATTTATGACTCTGATGGCAGAGAGTGATAACCCACTTTAACAGACAAAATTATCTTTGTCTTTCCAACCCTGATAACAACCAGGGTCCACACGGATACCTCGCCTCGGAGGTCGAAGTAATACCCTGCCTTTGATATTGATAATAATATTTACTGTTGGAAACTTCATATTTTCTCTACTAGCAGGCTCCACACCTCCTACATCGACGCGGACGCACGGCCATAGCACATGAACGAGTTTATAAACCTCAATTTTGTCTTGTCTATTCAAATTGGATTGTAAACATGTATACAGATCAATTTAACAGACCTTTATCTTTTACGAAGAACGGTATGTTTCTGTAATCTTCAGGTAGGTCCTCCCATTTCATTAAACCATCATCGATAACTTGAAAAATATGTCTGCAGGGGAAGTGGGTCCTGCTGAAGTTTCTGCAGGTGCAAGTTGGTCCTCTGATGTTCAGTTGGTGTGGCTCAGACCGGTGAGAGGATTTCACATGGAATACTCCATCAACGACCTTGCACACTTTGCTTGACCGTTTACCTTCTAAAATTACTGGCTGTTATTCAAAAAATCAAACCAAGAGAGAACACATAATATTTTGTCGCTTCATAATTCAAATTATTACAAAAAAATACTCGATTCTCCAGAAATTTGCCTTACACATATAATGTAGAAATATAGCACCAAGTTAGTGTCGTCGTTTTAACTTTTTAAGCGGGTTTGAAACTTTTAACTCACCCTTATCGTATTTCAGTCGAAGTTTTCTCTCCTTTTTCCACCAATCCCAGAGAAGTTTTGGTGCCTCCACCATGTAACTGGGTACATTACTCGTCGGCTCTTTCATTTTCTCCTCGTTGGAGAAGTTCTCCACTTTATATGATTCTTTTTTCTTCCTCAGAAAGTCTCGCAGAAGTAGCTGAAGAAGTAAAGTATTAAAGAAAGAACTGAAATTACCCAGAAGAGCTACAAGATCACCAAGAAGGACTCTACTTCAGAGAGATGGTTCATTATCTAGGTCTAGGTACTCCCCGAATACGCATGTATCATTGTGTTCTGGCCTCGGGGATGATTATAGAGGAGAAAACGGCAAACCCAAAGAGGTTTTGCACTACATTTTAACAAAACAAACATCAGATTTATGATGTAGGTGATTCGTGGTATTTGACAACGCAGCGAGGTTGAAGTGCTAACCACAGTCCACAACTATTTATCGTTACAATGTCTGATAGACAAAAATCTGTCAAACAAGCATGTTAGTATTAGGCCATCAATATCTAGTCAGACAACTTCGATCAAACGAAGAAGAACGAGATAATAGGAAAGGGGGACATTGCGCCCGTATTACGTGTTCAGCCAAACAATTCCAGTCGTAAGCTTGTATTGGAAAAATATCTAAACTTCAAAATTGTTAATCAGTTCAGACCTTAAAAATATACATACATAAAAACCAATCCAATCAATTTCAATTTATTTGAACCAATTCAATAAAATATCATGTTCAGCTGAAAAGGTAGAGGCACCATAAGTATAACCCACCGTTATCATTTCTGGCACTGGGATGACTTTTCCTCTTTTCCCCTCGCTGCTATATTTGAACACCTTGTTCATAATCTCAACACCGTTGTTCGTGTTGCTTTTATCTATCCTTTTTGTTCGATAGCGCAATGCCCATCTCTTTGAAATTGATTATTTAAATTGCATAAAATTTATTGAAGATGTATAAGTTCTTCCTTAAAACCTAAGCTATTGTTAAAGAGTGAAGGACTACTGCCACAATCTCTGGTAACTGGTTTATTTTGACAGCAAATCAGAACTGTTCCAGGAGAGTAAACTTACTTCTATTATAGGATCGTAGGTTGACATGTAATACCGCTTGACTTGTGGTGATGCTTTTTTCTTCAGCTCATCGACCTTTCTTTGTATTTATAACCAATCTTTGGCATACAGGATATCTCGAAGTAGGTCGAGATCTGCTTCTCGCTGATTAGGGTGAACGTTGTTGTCACTCTTATAAATCCACTTTCTCCAAGCCTAAAATTAACGACGTAAGATATGGGGATTGGGGGAATTAGGTTAATAATAGAAGATAATTGTGTATATTATATTTTTAACTGCCGCAGTTAAAAAGGGTAGAAGTAATTACCCGTTGATTCAAAACCCGCATTATGTGAGCAATTCTATTCGGAGTGTCCCGCGTATCCAATAGTATCTTAAACAATAATCTCATAATCAGTTCATTCTCGTGGATAATTAAGTCATTATTAGGCACCACATTCCAAGATCTTAAGGTCCGAACACCGGCTATTACACCTCATCACTCCCGTCTTGAACCGCTTTCCATTTTTTATCGGTTTAGAAATTAACCCTTTTTAACTCCACACCACACGTCCTGTCTATTATATTTGAAAACACGCATAACATTGTCGTATGAAAGTATGAACTCTCTCTGCAGTTCAAACATACCCCAAACAGTGCTCCCTCCCCTAATAAGATTAAAGTATAACATGACATAGAGCCCCACGAAAACCTCACCGAACCTCCACGCGGTGTGGGGTGGGTGGCACGAACGGGAGGTGCATGGGTGTTTCTAACCTATGCAAAGGAAGGGATTAGCAATCTCTACAACCAAGGAAAGGCTCTAATAGCCTCTATTAACCTTAGAACCGCAACATAACCGCTTTTCCCACAGGGAAATAACACCTTCCGCAGGAAACTAACACACTCACAGGCTCCCACATCTCGTTTAACCCCAGGATTTGACACGCTCACAGGCTTCCACGTTCGTGAACCCTAGGATTTCGTTTTGGATCAGACTTAAAACAAGGATAGAGGAGCGGTCTACAGTCTACACGCTCACAGGCTACCATGTCTCGTGTAACCCCAGAATTTGACACGCTCACAGGCAACCACGTCTCGTGTAACCCTAGGACTCTAACACTGAACAGACTCTAACACGTTCACAGGCTACCACGTCTCGTGTAACCCCTAGGATTTAACACGTTCACAACCTACCACGTCTCTTGTAACCCCAGGATTGAACACGCTCACAGGCTACCACGTCTCGTGTAAACCTATGACTCTAACTCTTAACAGACTCTAACACGCTCACATGCTACCATGTCTCGTGTAACCCTAGGACTCCAACTCTTAATAGACTCTAACACGCTCACAGGCTACCATGTCTCGTGTAACCCTAGGACTCTTAACACTTAACAGACTCTAACACGTTCATAGGCTACCACGTCAAAAGAAGAACATGACAGCGAATCTTACCGCGTTAACCCAATAATGGTTATTACTTATGCAGCTACATATGCAGTTATCGGATAGAGAGCGAGCCCCGTAATTCTTACCGTTTTCTTGATTAAGCCGCTCGGAAATTACACACGCAAGCACACCCAGAAAACACACATTCTGAGATTATTGTTTAAGTTATCATAATAAGCAAACAGGGACTGGCAAATTAAATAACTAGTAGCAGTGTAGTGAATTTTACCTGGAGTAAATGGAAAGTACAAATGAGACACTTTACTCCTCCATAGTTTTCACCTGCAACGACACAGTGAAATGAATAACGCTAGTCGTGATAATGCTAATTTAACCAGACATATAAATATAAAATGGCTATGTAAAAAAAGATTCTTAGTTGTGTCAGGGCTGAAGAGTACCTCACAGTAAATTGAATTGATGACCCCTGAATACTATCAGACTTAACCCAATTTATCAATTGTGAGATTTCGTATTTCAACTCACTCGAGTTTGCTGGGAAAACACTCAAAAAAGCATCGAATTCTGCTCCGCAATTGTCGCACATCGCGAATCGCGGTGACCAATTTGGGTTGGCATCTTTCAGCATTTGCAAGTACTCTGCTATGTTAGAACCTTCCTCTTTACTGGAGAGCCACACAGCCACTGGCTGAAATGTTCACGATTACATTCTTATTGTGATTTCATTCACTCGCTGAATCGAACGAATAGACTTATAATAACGGAGTTATAAATAAAATTGATAACATTTTTGTTAATACCTGAAAGCCGCAGTTGGTTCTGACAGCCAAAATAAACAGCGAGATATCTGCTAAGTCACACACATTATGTGTTGCATCTAAATAAACCGTCATACTGCCATACACGGACAGTAAGTGCTTCATAAATGCTGAAATAGCATTAAGTTTACCGAAAAAAAATAGCAATTGCAAGATTTAAAAGAATCAGAAGAATAAAAACACCAAATTGTTGTTTAATGGTCAGTGAACGATATTTAGCACAAAGTACTCACCACTTTGATACAGAAATCCAAATTCACGATTCTCCTCTGTCGGGTACCGAACAAAGATTAGGCTGTCTTTGTTTTCCCTTTCTTTTTCAACAATTTCTTCTAAACGTTTCATATCTCCTTCCAGTCCAGCTGACAGATTTACGCATAATTAATTTTCAAAATTGCATTAAATTCATTTTAGAGAAATGAATGCCATATCACATTTCTTGCTTGTAACACTTTTAGCAATTAGAGCATCAAGACAAGCAGTACATACAGACTTTTTCTACTTAAATTTTAAGTATCAAGAAAAAAACTACATGACTATTTCAATGTTTAATATAATTCTACCGGATCCGAGACACTACGGCGTGAAACCGCCGTACAAAACAGAACTGTACGGCACGGAGGGTACCGCAACAATTGACCCCCAACAATCGACCCCGACAATTGCCCCCCACCCTCGGGGGTCAATTGTCGGGGGTCAACTGTCGCCCACCCGGCACGGAGATGTAATTAAACAGAACTTACGTTTCCTGTGTTGAATCTTTCGTCTTTTGTTGGCAACAGTTTGCACATCAAAGGAGGAGATAACCGAACTTGTTGCTCCTAACTGAGCCTGGTAATTCATCTGCGCAGTCAGGGTCGAGTCTCCTACTACTCCGATGCTGGTTATTTTTGTAAGGAATTCCGTGTCCTCTGCAATTTTGAAATTTAAGGACAACTCTTTTATAAATCATAGTAACAACAATTGCAGTAAAATAATTATCAATTCATTTAATAATAGATATGCTATCAATAAAAAGAAGGGGTAAGTTAAACAGATTGTTGTGATAGTAAGCCTAAGGATGCACAAACAATTGGAGGCCGGAGGGTTGAAGTTATGGACGTAGGAAGGAGGTAGAAAGAGGTATATAGTATAATAGTGTTTATGACAGAACAAACCAGATGATATAGCGTTCCGTTGTGGAACAATTTTGTGGTTGTGGTTTCTGCATGTTTGATAAACCACAGTGTGAAGCTCAAATTCGGATGTGTCTTCAGCACTTTCCCTCACTGCTGCTATTGCATCCGCTCTCTGCGCCCTGGTAGCTCCTTTAGGAACCTGGTAAAGTGTTATTACTATTACAATTATTGTAAGTTACGTAGAAATGACTATGGGCATGTCTGCGTTCCATTCTCTCGAAATTTGTACATTTCTTTGGTTTAAATTTAAAATTAAAATTGGTCTACTATTATAATCATATAATACGTCTTGTAGTGTCTTATCTTATCTTATCTTATCTTATGAGGATTCGTTGCGACGCAACAAGGCTATCGAATGAGTCGACCACCTTTGTTATTTTACTTCGGCATTACCTGCATTACAATGTAAACCAGCACTTTCAAGGAAGAGCTTTACAAGAAGCCGAAGGATCGTTCCTAAGGCCAGCGACGGTTAAGGCACTATGCCACACTTTCTTCGCCCGAGGCTTCGCTGTGTTGATCAAGCACAGCTCCTCATTTAACCCTCACACCCGATTTCTCGAGAATTCGGCTGAGTGAACCGTGGGGCTACATAGACCACTCGGGATCCTTAGCAGAGCGTCAACGACGCTCACCCCACGACTAGGCAGGCAGTGGGATTCGAACTCGCAATCTCACGATTACAAATCCGATGATCAACCAACTACGCTACCTGGCCGTCTTCGTCCACTATTGGATTTAAAATCGTTAATGTTAGCTTGACTACGTGTCATCCATTCTTGGTCCGATGTTGTTCAATATTATTGTCTAGTTATTGACTATTGATTACATAAACGATCTTGCAAATGTAAGAGATACATCCCAATATATGTTTTTTTTTGCAGATGGCAGACACGTAAAAAAGGAGGAATCCACAGTATTTTGAAATCAAACTCATTACCTTGATAACGATTAACGATTATAGCCTCTCTCACATTCAAGGTAACGATTATTAGGATTCAGAACGAAATAAATAAAATCCTTCCCTTTAAAGTTACAGGATAAGTTCATTAATTCGTTTAGGAACAACGATATTTATTATTTACTCGATAAACAAAAACTTGCCGCTGAAAAGAACGTCGTTTTCTACAGCTCGTAACAGAATTACAAAGAAACTATACCATCTGTTCGAGTTAAGTCCAAACAACATTGCCATCAAATAAAATGAACTGCGATAAAGCATCTTTTAGTCAGTCACTTTATTATCAAACATGTCAATCTTACAAATGTCAACAATCCTAAAATAATTTAGAACCTAAACGTGATCCTTTGTAAGATTATATGTCCCAAAAGTCAAATTGACTTGTACTCAAGTATAAAGTCGAACAATTTACTCCAATAACCACGGTTACTAGCAAGTTCTCTCAAATGAAGAATATCATCATACGACTCCAGCAAGATGAAACGCTTCCAGAGGTCAACCTTCAGGAGGTGTAGGAGGTTACGTCTGTGAGCCCCGAGTCTACCAACTTCACTACACATCTCGACAGCAAAGCACAGCGCAGTTGAGTCAGTCACTGCCATTTTTTAATTTTCACTGCCACGCTTAAACTAATCTACACAAATATTTACTCAATTACGTGCGCAGTGCGTGCTAATAAAATTCTTGGAATTCTACCGCCTTGATACTAATATAAACTGCAAATTTATTATTATTATTGAAGACGTTACAGGAGGAATTAAATTTTAATTAATGCAGTTTTTTTGTTTGTTTGAGGAGCCCTCACTCTCCTCATGTCAAACAATGGCGTTTCTCTTGTCGCTTTTGATATTTTCGATATATTATGATTAAAATGATATAAATTGATTTGTATACTCTCGATACTCCCCATCGCGGGTTTATTAATATTACTTCTACTACTAAATAAGATAAAATAGCACGTATCTAACAAATAAGTGTGTTGTTTTTACAGATCAGTAAAGAAATTATTACCCGGTTATTTGTATAAACTCTGTATTCATACAGTCGTATCTCTGCCTCACACTTCGTACCTTTGATGGTTAGCTTTCTAATCCGCTGCTTTCCCTTATCCTGAAATAAAATGTTTTATGAGATCGGACTACTTAAAGTTCAGAACAGCGCCGTAACTTCTAAGCTTAGTAATAATAATAAATTGAAGTTAAAGAACACCACTATTAAGATATAATACTTTAAATATTAAGCAGTGTTTCAATTAGTCATCCCAGAAAATTTCATGATAAAATATAGGACTGCCGACTGGTAACATGAGAAAAGAATTAACAAAAGAAAGATTTTAAAAATTAACTTATAACCAACATTTATAGGTTTCTTTTTGTTTGAGACACCATGGGGGCACCTCAGAAAGCACTGTCTGCTTTTAACAAAGGGAGCTGCATAGAGTCCACTAGTATTTAATATTAGCCTATTGAGTATGTGGTACATGGTATGCAAATCGGCGAGATGCGAAGGATTGACATCGTGAATCAACGCTCATGTGTACTGTCATAAATTAAATTAAATTGACCATGTTAACGGATGATACTCGTAAAATATTTGTTTCAAATATTTTCCAGACCATATTTAATAGTGGTCAATTATGTTCATAAACGAATAAAGATTCGGTGGAATAACAGGCTGAGCGCCGCCCAGTAAATTTCATACGCATTAAAAATGTAATGTGCTCGGTAGAGATATAAAATGCGCCTTAAAAATACTGCTTTAGAATCAAATTCAATCAAAAGAAAGTATTTTTCAAATAAAGCTCAGTTTAAGCTTGTTGTTGAAAGCATCATTGTCTGATCTTCAAATTGAACTATTACAATGTCTTTACTTTGGAATCACTCCGGACCTGAACCTGAATTGTGAATATTACAGCAATTATTTGTTGATGAATTTTGCCGTAGTAACTAAAGAATTAATAGGACTTTTAAACATGGTCAACTAGGACAGAGTGGATAATTTGGAAGACCTTCATTGGCTGCCTGTTAAAGTTATAATATTCAGAGGTACAAGTTATTGCTTCTTGTTTATAAATTTATGAAGGCGCAGTTTACATCCCCACAGAAAGCACACCAATTAGACACACAACTTCTTTTAAATTTCATGAATCGAGATCAAACCGTTTGCAATTCGTTTTCTTGAAATTGTTGTTTTCTTGAATGTATTAAGAATCAACATCTAATTATATATGTTTGTATATAAATGACTAGGAATACTTTTGAAAGAGAATAACAAGCTCATAAACGATAGTGTCTTACTTCGTTAAAATATCGTGAGTAGCCTCATGAACGATTGTACGATTTCCAGTTCAATTTTGGTCGAGACACATCAACTTTTGGGAGAATGGAAAAAGCTGTGGCAAATCAGGGTTTGCGGTGAATTCGGATTTGCGGTAAATCCGGATTTGCGGTAAACCGGGGCATGGTAAATCGAGTTTTACTGTATAATCATCTTATCTATTTGACTGAATAGAACCAAGGGTGCTTAGAGAAAAAAATCGTTTCAGAACATAGGCCCTCAATTATGGAATAAGCTGCCTTTAGAAATTAAGAGTTGCACGTCATTGAACTCTTTTAAAGTAAATCGGAAAATGTTTCTTTTTTAACAAGCTTGTGATATCAACTCCAAACAAATTTCTTAAGCTGCAGCCTCCTTTGAGCTTGCTGCTTTGAATTGTGAAACTTAGTGAAATTGCATTGATTGGCCAAGTAGAAGTGTGGTTCCTTGGCCTTCCCCTACCCAATTAAGGGAGGCCAATGTAAGCCAAAATAGTTCTGATGGTTGATACTTTAAACTTCATTATGATTAGGAAAATGGCTTAACTTCAATTAAAAAGCTTGTGGGAAATGACTCTCCGACTAGTTCATAAACTCAAGAGAAGCTGTACAAGGTTTGCTAGTTCTAGCATTTCACACACGGATGAAAGAGCCAAATTCACAGGTCAGTTTTACTCAAAACAGTTATATATAACTACTAGTATTATGTACTGCTAGCGTTATATTACTTACTGCTAATAATTATTGTTTATTTGGTCTTGATTTATTTGATTCTTTATTCACATTAAACTCTTACGTGTTCTGGGTGAATTTTTTCTATCTGAATCATGTCTCAGAAAATATTTTGTATTGATTGCTGATGAAGAGTAATTCCTTAATAGTTTTCAATCAGGGTCAAAGAAGACAAACTTCACACATGAACTTAAGTATCTAAATCCTCTTGAGCAGCCTGCTTTTCCTACATTTCGTGTTCTTGACAATCATGGGAATATCAAGACAGATGATGTAAGTTAGTTAGTTTTTGGAATGATAAATATTCAATATCCATGTTGCTTCTGCATCTGATGCATGGCAAAAGCTACAAGGGAATTGAGGGGTTATATCTTATGAGGTATTGGATTGTTAATTCCGAATGAATAAAGTGAGATACCACTACTTGATACTTTTATCTGAAAATATTGGCCAAGGTCTGATTAGAATCAGTAATATAGCACAGCTGATTGTATCTTTGTAATAACTCAATATTCCAGGCACCAAAATTATCAGACGAGGAGCTTGTCAAGATTTACAGGAGCATGGCTCTTCTCAGCAAAATGGATAAGATATTGCTCCAGTCACAACGTCAAGGCCGAGTATCATTCTACATGACTTGCTCAGGGGAAGAAGCTGCGGTTGTAGGTATGTACAGTTACTTGAAGTATTTTCATTTGTTTTTAAGAATACAGTTTAGTGATTGTTATTTATTTCACAATACACACAACCTTGTAACTTACCCTATATTGAAAATGATATTGGCTCATATCGACTTTTAAGAAAATACAATCAGTAAGGATATGAATTATTTGCATTATTCTATTCTAAACGTGCATGTAGAGATCAAATCTGTTGTCTTGTATTGTACAGGTAGTGCTGCAGCACTGCAAGATGTGGATACAGTGTTCACTCAATATCGAGAGGTTGGCGTTTTCTTGTGGAGAGGCTTCACTTTGCAAGATGTCATGCATCAGTGCTTTAGCACACATAAGGTATTTCAGCTGTCAGAACATTTACAGTGAACAGCTTCAATATTTACAGTAATTGCATGGAACAGAACATGATAAACATAACAGGCTGAGTGCTGGCATATAATAATAATATAGATCCTAATTTATACTGAAATACTTGTCTTTACATTAAACTGGTAATTTACTATTTAGTTAAACATTTTTTGATTGTTAATCGCATCAGGTTTAGCATATTTTGAATAAACTAATATCATCCAACTTCCTTGGCCTTAGCCTCTGCCCTCTTAGTCGAAGGTTCATTCGCTAACAGTGCGTTTTTATTGAGTAAGATGTCTGTAATTTGATCTTATAATATGTCCTTGAAAATACTCCCCATGGGAATTTACTGTGCTAAAATGAACACTATCAGGTATCACATGATTAGACCTCTATTCCATTATGTATGAACTGATTTTCAATACAACTGCTGCTGATCAGAATTGAAACTGCAACTGGTCAGTTTCACTGTTTCCATGATTGTTTTCCGGATCTGAACCTACAGTAGTAACTGCAGTAGTAACAGTAATAACAGTAGTATAGTAACTACATATAACTAACTTATATTCTACTTATTTTGCCATGTATTTTCGCACCTCTTTTTATTTTTATTTTCAATTTTATCAACATCGAAAGAAGATTCGTATTGTTTTTCAAATGCAAAACTTAAAACGAAAGACAGAAATTAATCAAGGGACTCGATTTCACCATAAGTGACCTTGATTTCACTTATAGCCACTCCCTTGTAGACCCCAGAGATTGTAGCCAAGGCCGTGGTTCCGTCGAAAAAAACTTCTTGATGGTGGCAGTGTAAGGGATGTCAGCTTTGTACTCGGTACCTTGGATCCAGCCAGTCATCTGGTACTGCCACATTAATGGTGATGCTGTCCGTGGAAGTTTCAGTGGTAGTATCACCAGTTTCAAAGGTGGATGTGGTCAAAGCGCTGATTCTGTTTTCTGTTCTATCTTAATGAGTGGAGATCCTGCTGTGATTTCAACTGCAATTCCAAGCTGAATAGCCTGGCTGAACGTAAAGGACTTCTCTTTTGCTACAGAGTAGGAGAGGGTTCTAGACATTGTCTGTGGCTCTTGAGATTCGTTTGTGATGATTGAAGGGCTCATCTTTACCGGTGCAGTTTGTTGTCTTTCCGCGTCCAAGTCGTAGTTCACACTGTACATGATGATCTTTGATATAGGTTTCTCGGCCCAATAAGAGAGGAACTCCTTGTTTAAGAAGTATGGAGAGGAGGGGAAATAGTTGTAGTTCGATACAGCTCCAAAGCCCCTCACGGACTGCTCGCTAGCAGAGGTTGCTCGAGGCTCCCAGATAGATACATGAGAGTTAGCCCCCATGGTCCCTCCAGACGTACCCCCAGTTGCTGGATGATCCGTATGTAGTGAAACTGCTCTTTACACAGCAGGGACAAAAGGATTTCGCGATTATTTTGGCCAAAAATTGCGATACTGCGAATTTTAACAGACTATACATTAAACTATACATAAAATTTGTCGCAAATAATGGGAAAAATCGCGATTCCGTACATGCTGCGATTTCCTTTTGTCCCTGCCAACGTTTGAGCATTCTTGGTAGGGGGTGTACTAAGTACTTATGCTCTAAAATGATAACCGCTTATCAAATTGTGTTTTCCTTTTGTTGTATTGCTGTATTGATGTTTTTAATCTTGGTTTAGAATGTCACAATACTTTAGTGACCCTTTACTTTTAACGCGATTTCCTTTTGTCCCTGTTACACAGTACACGTCTCCTGCTGCTGGATAACTACTGGTTGTGGCGACACTGCCGAGAGAAACGTACCCTGCAGGCTGCTAACTTTCCAAAGTTGAACATCCTTGTCTGCTCCAGATCCTGTGTCGTTCCAGATTTTCGAGTAGGAGATTGGTTGTCGAATAGAGTCGTCGTTAGCATCTGTTGGTCTTATCATGAACCCGATCTTTGGTTTGGTGTGTGTTGCAACAACAATATCTCCGAGAGGATAGTATTCGTCCTTAGATTCAGCCCTTCAGATGGAACAGTCAGCTGTTGTTCTGGGGTGTTGGAATCTGTCTAAAGGGTGTTGTACGGTTTCTTTTGTACTGTAGTTTTATTTTGGGGGTCGTTGTGACGAGTTAATAGAAGTTATGTAAAAGCTTTAGATCAGAACTGGTTATGCTTTCTGCTCAACTTGGAAGCCATAGGGGCTTCCAACGCAGACGATCATTACTTAGGTTCCACAATCCACACTACTTTCTTAAACGGTAAATTTATCAAAATATTATGAACCATACCAAAATATAAAAATCTTATCACTTACATGGTGGGTGGTCTCAACTCTCAATTACTATTTCGAGTGTACTACTTCTGCTCAGAATAACATTTTATTATTATAGTATCTTTCCATGATCTCAGCAGTTTCGGGGTCGCCAAAAACAATACAGAATGTGACTTTTATCTATTTATTAATTAATTTAATCTATTTATTAATAAATTTAATTTGTTTAATTTATTAAATTTATTAATTTATTTAATTTGGCAGGATAACACGAAAGGTAGGCAGATGCCTATACATTACTCAGCAAAGAAGCTGAACATACAATGTGTTAGCTCTACGTTAGCAACTCAAGTGCCGAATGCTGTTGGTTACGCTTACTCCAACAAAATAAAGGGAATCAAAGCAGTGAGTACCAATTTTATATAATATATCATTTTGCTTTATATTATATACAGTAAGATAGTTGAAACCTTTTGCAGGGCTACTATTATGCACGGTTATTAAAAGCAAGAAAGCTTTTTATACTATGTATATTATCCAAGTTTATATTTGGTTGTCACATTTCTATAAGGAAGTACAATCTTATGATGGTACAGTAAACCAGCTGTTGTTAAGTTTGCTTACTTTTTATTGTCATACGTTAAAGAACAATCTAGAAACTATTAGGATTTATAAAGTTTTAAGCACGATGTAGAAAACAAATATAAGGTTTAAAGGTTGAAGAACGATTTTTTTAGTAATTATGATTTTTTTAAACACCCCGAGGTAGCGTCACAAATGCGTGGTGAATACGACATTCCAATCATTTAATTAATTGAATTAATAACGAAAAATGTCGATCAGAAGAGGAGTCAGCTTCCAACTTAGGAGTTTTACACGCGTATAAATTTTTGTATCATTATTTGACCGTTTACTGAAAAAAAATAACCACGTTTCAAGTAACAGTCACATATTTCAGGTAACAGTCAAATATTTCAGGTAACAGACAACAGTCACATATTTCAGGTAACAGTCACATATTTCAGGTAACAGTCACTCAGTCACGTATTTCAGGTAACAGTCACGTATTTCAGGTAACAGTCACGTATTTCAGGTAACAGTCACATATTTCAGGTAACAGTCACGTATTTTGGTGAAGGAGCAGCCAGTGAAGGTGATGTGCACGCAGCTATGAACATGGCAGCCGTGCTCCGGTGCCCAACTATCTTCATTTGTCGGTAATTTCGCTCTTCTTTATCATTTAACAAAATATTATTTAATTTTCGCCTATCTAATAATCACAGAATTTAACTCTTCAATCTTGATGGTGTGCGATTGTCATGGTGACAAATTATGACCATGACTGTTAACTTGATTTTACACTTTTACAATGGGCACGATTTTAGCAGAATCGAGATGTCCAACAATCTTCATTTGTCGGTAATTTTGCTTATTCTATATCATTTTGTTAATTAATAAACAATATATGGTTTTTTAAAAACAACGCCCAAGTCTAATCTTTCCCTAAAACAAATTACTTCGATGTTATCTAACATATTTATTTCATTATCGCTTATTTAATGATTACAGAATTTACCTCTTGACAGTAGTGTGCGATTGTCATGGTGATAATAATATGACCTAATACAAATTTAGTTCATTTTGGCAAATTCTTTGTACAGAGCGGCATACCTTTGAGACATGTTAACCTTTTCAGTAACAACGGCTACGCCATATCAACCTCAACTGAAGACCAATACGCGGGAGATGGGATCGTTGTGCGCGGATATGGATATGGAATGCGCAGCTTGCGTGTGGACGGAAATGACTTGTTCGCCGTGCACAAAGCAGTGTCCGACGCCAGAAAGGTTGCTCTGGAGAATTCATGTCCGGTCCTGATTGAGTTGATGACGTACCGAGTTGGACATCATTCTACTAGTGATGATTCTACTGCTTACCGGTACGAGGCACAATAATAGTTCTAATGGGTATAATATTCTAATAGTAATGTTCATGAATATCAAGATCACAGCTGTAGAGAAACAGCTGATAAGCTTACAATCAGCTGATATCACGTGATAATATGTAACTTTGCTGTGAATAGGAACTGAATTAACTGAGAGAATACGGATAGTTTCTAGGTTTCATTAAATTTTAATTACTCTGAATTCAATAGCTTATTAATGAGTTTTAATCGCTTATTAATGAGTTTTAATTGCTTATTAATATGTTTTTAATCAGTTCAATAGACGAGGTGAATTACTGGAATAAGGAAGACAGCCCTGTGGGACGGCTGGGGCTGTATCTCATGAAACGGAAACTTTGGGACGCTGAAAAAGAGAATTCATACGCTAAAGAGGTATGTTGTTTCGTTGATACACGATGGAAATTTAATAATTTGATGAAAAGTATGAAATGTTTTCCTTATCTTATCATTAACTATCATGGGATATGAAGGAAACTGAAGGATAAAAATCCATTTTCGAATTCGTAAAATTGATTAAGATACTACGATATTGTGTTGATGCTAGAAATAATAATAAATTATAAGAAAATTTAACATTTGTGACTTTAAAAACAATTCTTTTCATAATAATTGAAATACCCATAATATTAACTATAATAAGCGATGTTTCCAAAGCAATAAAATATTTGATTTGAATCACGAAGAAGATTCTCATAGTATGACAGTTCTTTAAGTTACCTCAAGTCTACTGTATTGAAAAGTTGTAAGCCCGCGTTAAATCCGGACACAGCTAAAAATAGATTCACGAGGACCGAGGAGCCTCTAATTTAGTACCGTTCACACCAATTAGCAGTGTTCGATTGCCAAATGCCCTCACCATCTCTTGAGTACAGAACCAAGTTGTTGTCGTTTTGGACTACCAGCGTTACTCCATCTGGACTACCTGAGTAGCTGGACCATTTTTGACTGTCTTCTTTGTCAACTACAACCATTTCGCCGGTGTTCTGAAATTTAAATGATCAACATTTCGCCGGTGTTCTGAAATTTAAATTATCAACTACAACCATTTCGCCGGTGTTCTGAAATTTAAATTATCAACTACAACCATTTCGCCGGTGTTCTGAAATTTAAATTATCAACTACAACCATTTCGCCGGTGTTCTGAAATTTAAATTTTGTACTTTGCGGATGTTTATTTTTAAATTTTCAAGCTGAATGTTAGCTTTTCATTACTTTCAACTGATTGACAAAAATGACTGGAGGTAATGGAGCTTTTCATATAGAAGTTAATAAAATTCCTAATAAATATTGAGTTAGGGTGTTGACTGGCTACACCGGGTCAAAACGCTAATATATTTGTAGTTTTATAATAAGTTAAATACCTTAATTAAAGTGATATATTTGTAGTTTTATAATAATTTAAATACCTTAATTACAAGTCGATACCCAATAAAAGTAATATATTTGTAGTTTTATGATAAGTTAAATACCTTAATTAAAGTAATATATTTGTAGTTTTATAATAAGTTAAATACCTTAATTACAAGTCGATGGTTCTCCTCATCCCAGAACCAGGTATTTGAGTGCCAAATCGGTGTTCCCCCTGCACAGTACAGGACCAAGTTTCCGTCAGTCTGCATGTAAAGTGTGGTCTCTCCGTTCTCTGCTCTTATCGACTCTCCTGATTGGTGGTTTATAATGAGTTTATAATGAGTTTATAATGAGTTTATAATGAGTTTATAATGAGTTTATAATGAGTTTATAATGAGTTTATAATGAGTTTATAATGAGTTTATAATGAGTTTATAATGAGTTTATAATGAGTTTATAATGAGTTTATAATGAGTTTATAATGAGTTTATAATGAGTTTATAATGAGTTTATAATGAGTTTATAATGAGTTTATAATGAGTTTATAATGAGTTTATAATGAGTTATTATGATTCCTTTCTTAATATTGAAAACATCTTTTGTTTTGAAACCCCACGGTGGAGGTTGGCGTGTGCCGCAATTTATTGATCAATGGTTATTACATAAATGAAATTATAGAAGTCACACTAAAATATAATAATGTTAAATAAATATATTAAAATAAATGCCCTACTAAAAGTACTATATAACTAACGGTCTGCAAAACTGGTTGAAGTCGCAATTTGTAAACATGCTAATTACTATTTAATAGTAATAGATAAAAAGTTTTGCGCGGCAGATGTAAATTCGGCATTGCATAATGGCAGTGAAATTAAAATGATATGTTGTTGATAACAGATCATAGTCATTTGACGCGAGTGATCTTTCTTTACGCGTTGTCGCTTACTAACTCGGTGCTGTAGTCTATTTGCGAGCGCCCTTCTCTTTGAGACTTTCTTAGCCCAGGTATACTATAAAGTAAGAAATTTGGCCAATTTTCATCGTCTCCTGAGCTTTGCAGCTTGAGGAGTTCGCGCTTAGCTGAATTTTTAAAGATTTCAATTGAAAAGGTAGAACTTGGAGTAGTTATATCCTTACTTTGTTTTGTAATAGAGAGCATGGGTCCTTTGAAGAAAAGAGTATTTCTAAATGTTGGGCCGTTGTAAGTTGTGAACCAAGAAAGGTTATGTTCGAATGTGGAATTATAGGTGGGAATATCGTGAGGGAAAAGTTCTTTGATGGATTTAGGGAGAAGGCTTGGCATGTTCCTTACTTTGTGTAGTAGAATAAGAGCGTTTTTTACAATGACGCTATGGACTGTTAGGATATTATGCAATCTAAACGCACTTTTTGTGTGCTCCGGGGGATTGCCGTCTTTATATCTATAATTTACATATCCTGACATAACAGCTCTAATTCCCTGCTTTTGCTTGGTGAACAGAGATTCAATGTGACATTTTGAGGCAAATCCCCACACTAAAGAACAGAAATTTAGATGGGATTGGATAAGGCTTTGGAAAATGTTTAGGCGGGCTTTGATAGGTAGAAGGTGCTTTAGCTTATACATAACTCCGAGGTAGCGACCCATCTTTATTCTAACGGCCGTAATGTGTTTTTGCCAAGTGAGCTTTTCGTCTAGGATCACTCCTAAAAATCTTGCTTCAGTCTTACGTTCGATTACAGTGTTGTCAATGGACAAATTAAAGCCGCTGAAGTCGATTCTTTTTCTAGTGAAAATCATGTAACACGTCTTTTTTACATTTAAAGATAGCCCATTAACACCTACCCAATCTACAAGACGTGAAATTAGCTGATTAGCTTTTAATTGTATTTCTTCTAGGGTGGTTCCACTAATTAATATGTTTGCGTCGTCGGCATAAAGGATGAACTTTGCAAAATCACTAATTCCAGGTAGGTCGTTTATATAAATTACAAATAAGAGAGGTCCTAAAATGCTACCCTGAGGTACGCCGTAAACTATGGGCATGCTAGAAGAGTAAGTTCCGTTTAAAGTTACGTATTGAGATCGATTACAAAGGTAAGATCTAAACCATTCGTGCGCGACTCCCCTGATCCCATAATGGTCAAGCTTCTTAAGCAAGGTCTCATGATCAAGCACGTCGAAGGCTTTACTGTAATCGAGCAGGAGCAGTAGGGAAATTTGTTTCTTATTCAGAGAGTGTAGTATGGAATTTTGGGCATTGAGCAGTGCATGTTCGCACGATCTTCCTGGCCGAAATCCGTATTGATTTTCGAAAAGAGAATCGTTCTTATCTAAAAATTCTAAAACACGAGCATGCATAAGTTTCTCATAAATTTTCGAGAATGATCCCAAAAGAGAGATCGGCCTATAATTAGCTACTTCCAATTTTGAACCACCTTTGTGGATAGGAACGACTTTCGCAGTTTTTAGAGCATTTGGGAAGGTACCACTGGAGAACGAACAGTTAATGACATTAGCTAGTGCCCTGGTAAAGTTTTCGCAGCTGTTTGCAATTTTCAATGGCTCAATTTTACAATCGAGTGTGGACTTGTTCTTAAGCCCTGATATTATCTTTTGGACTTCACCGTGTGATGTAGGCTTAAGAAACATCGAGTTACTACACGAAGCCTTAAGAAAATGCTTGAAACCACCTGGGTCAAAGGTTCGACGGGCAGCGATTTGCCTCTTGATACTGGCTGCAATACCGGAGAAGTAGCCGTTAAATTTCTCAGCGACTGCCAGATCGGAGCTTATAATCGTGCCATCGTCGTCCTTCAGACGGGTGTGTCCGAACTTTTTTCTGTTACGGTTCAGGAGGCCATTGATAATTTTCCATTGACTTTTAGAGCAGTTTTGGTATTTGTCAAACATTTTTTTATAGTACTTTTCTTTGGCTAGATTCACATGTTTGTGACAAAACTTTTTCATTTTATCATACGCGTCGCAGTTTTTTTGTGATGGATTTATAGTTTTTTCAAAAAAAAGTAACTTCTTGCGGTTGCATGCCGCCTCAAGCCAGGGTAAGATCCAAGGCTTTGGGTCAGCTCTTTCGAATTTTCTTCTCGAACTGTCGCGCTTCAGGGGGTATGCAGTATTGTAGTGTTTCATGTACGTTTGATAGATGGAATTGTATTGTTCATCAGCGCACGTTGAGGAGGTAGCATCATCCCAGGTCTCACTTACAATAAGCTCTTTGAATTTAGCATGATTAGCTTCGTTAAATACACGGGCTTCTAATTTCAAGCTAGTGTTGTTGTTCTTAACACGTTGACTACGGAATCGCTCGTTCAAACTAGGTGTGGCTCCTAAACTAATGGTCGTGCTAACCGCGAGATGATCTGACATATCCAACGTCACGACATTACAACTAATAACGTTTGTCACGTGATTAGTATACACGTGATCAATAAGCGTTGCACTGTGGTCAGTTACCCTGGTAGGCTTGGAGACAGTCTGGGCAAACCCATATTTTTCTAGTAAGCTTATAAGATCCTGGCTGTAAGCGTCGGTATCGTATTTTATAAGATCAATATTTGCATCACCCAGGAAGACTATCTGCTTTCTGGAGTGTCTATCAAGACCCCTGAGCACGTTTTCAAACTTTTCAAGGAATTTTTTAGGGCTTGTGGATGGCGAGCGGTAGAAATTTACGATGATTTTTGTCTTATTTCCGTTTTTAAAATTGTTGATTTTAAGCAATTGAAATTCTCCGCAAGTAACTTCTTCTGGACTCAGATTGAGTTCGAGTTCCTGTATTTTATCGTAATCACAAACGCGTTTGTTAACATAGAGCGCAAGACCACCTCCTTTTCCAGATTTACGTGCAGGTTCTTTGATGAAGGGCTCGTAAAACTGTTCGATTTCAATGTCGTTCAGACCATTAGGAAGATTAGAAATTTTACAGTTGGTTTCATTGAGGCAGATGAGGTCAAATTTGGAGAATGTTTCTATTTCTTCACTAAAATTTGAGATATTCTTCACGAGTGATCTAACGTTTAACGAAAGTATCTTAAATTCGCGATTGCTAGGGGTCTTGATATTATCAGGGTGTTGGTACTTACAGCTAACCAATATCTCCGATATACAATTGTTGAGATCGATTTCGCTGGAATCTATTTCATCAGTAAGTTCGCCTATTTGATTCAGTACGTGAGAACGAATATAGGGGTTAAAAGTGGGGGTTATTGTATTGTAATTATCATTAAGTTCGTAGGAAGTTACTCTATAGCCAGGTATTAGGTTTAGACAGCATGTAATACAACCAAGATAATCTTTGAGGCATTTGTTATGAACTGGTTTGTCACATACAGGACAAATGAAAACATTTCTAGGAGCATAAGACCACCCGAAGCAACTTGAGCATTGTGATTTGAAACTAGGTTCAACCATTGTTCAAGATGTGTAAATACCAGATATCTGTGAATAATTAAGTAAGATATTAAATAGATAAGAGTGTATAGTATGGTGTATAGAATAGCTTGTACAGTCTAAGAATATGTATAAAAAGCTAATGTGTGTGCGTGTGAATGAATGAGGAATAAACTGTGTGCTGAGAAAGCGTAAAGATGAAAAAGAAAACTTGTTAGACCTACCTATCAAGAACTATACAGCTCTGTGTGTAGATAGAATCGTAACGTAGTCTACAATATTACAATATTACGATAGCGGTACTGATTTCAGAACTATTCTAAAGTGTTTAGAAAACTCGGGCAAGAATTCTAGTAACTTACGATAAGCTGATAAGAGCACGGGCATGACTATATATTTTCATGCGAGGGTTTTCATTATAACCATAAGATGTAAGCTATAATCCCTTAAAGATTTTGTAAAAATTTTGTGAAAATTTTGGCGCGGCAAGTATAAGTAGTAGGCTGGGGTACGGCTTTGTGAGTTTGTATTTAACCGTTAGTTACCAGGCAAGAGCGAGACAAACTCCCGCCTTAATGGCCAGTGCTTTCGAACTTTCTCGCTTCGCATAGAGAGTTTTTGAACACCGGTCACCAGACAGTTAGCTATCTCACTCTTGGGCAGCTGAGTAATGTGAATCCCATTTCCAGATCTATCTAAAATCTCAAACCCTTTGTTAAATATCACACTACAAATATGGTGGGAGTCGAAAAACCAAAAGTTACGATTTTCGATCAGACTAAAGTCAAACATGCAGCGGTTAAACAAATCAACCTCCTTATTTAACCATGTAAATCTCGTTCTAAGAAGGGAGTTGAAAACAAACACTGTTTTTGGATATCTAGCAAACAAGTAGTTAAAATTGTCCCTAATTTCACGGGAAAGTGTATAGCTTCTATGGTCATATCTCGACAAATCATTAATACCGGAAGATATAATCACATAATCGCAGTTTTCAAAAAAATTTTCAAACTTCATTAAGTCCGTGAGTTGGTACATGTCACGCTTTATGACACGAAAGTTAGAGGGGAAAGATGATGGGGTGTTACGTATCATAGAGTCAGTAAGGTATAGGACAGTCTGTTTGGAGGGTCTCAGGGGGTCGGATGGTGCTATTGACGGTTCATGGATTTTAGGAATGTGCGTGCGCATGGGCTTGTCAATGCGTCTAAAGGTCACTGACACACGACACGAGGTGACGCCAGGTTCGGGTTGTATCGCATGCTCCCAGAAAAACTGAGACTCTGTGGTCATTGCGTACACTGTGCCATTCCTTAGTTCGTGTTCACGTCGCTCATCAGTGACTATGTTACGGAAAGTTAAGGTGCGAGTGGCCCCAAAGCTGGCAGTGATGATTTCACCCGTTAAGCCTGTTTCATTATCAGAGTGAAACGGGATAGAGTCTGAGCCTGTCTGGTATCTAGTGACCATGCAAGTAACGTTATCCCTATTGAAGGTGGGATCGTCTAGTTCGTCAGCTATACAGTCTAGTATCTTATTTACAGCGTGATCAGATGGTGGGTAGGCCTTAGCGCGATGGGTAATACTGCCGTAACTGTATTTACTGGAGCCGAAGTAAGAGACGTCACGTGATCCTATGCGTTGAAAGTCCAGTCCATCACAAACATTATGCGTTTCAAACTCAAACTTTGATCGCAAACTTCTTACCGGAGTAGCTTCTAGTGCTTCCTCGTGTCCGGCTGGCGAACCTGTGACGAAGGTTGAGGGATCCGAAGTAGTGTTGGGAGTAGAGTTCCTAGCGACGAGAGAACTAGAGCTCCTTATCACCTCCTTGTATTCGTCAAGCGTCTGTTCGGCTTTTTCCAGCAGCATGCAAAAATCGGAGGTTAGATTATCGTGTATAGTCTGCTTATCAGTTGGATTTCTGATAAGATGATCATAGTATCTAGAGTCTAGATTTAGCTTTGCTGTCATGTATGGTTTTCGTAGCGTTTTGTTTGTAGATTTACAGAGTCCGGCACTTAAAGATTCACGATAAAGTTGGTCCGGTGTGAGTGACGGCAGTAGCTCGAGGCAAGTTTCTGGCGTAAAAGTAGGTACCCAAAAACCAACAAACTCTGTCTGCGTACTGTGATTTTCGACGTTCATCAACATCACGATAATTATCGATAAGAAGTAAAGCACATCGTCTTCTATAATAAGCATCAAATCACACAATGGATATTTTTGATTTGAGAAAACCTCAACAATTTTGTTGGATGGGTCTCCCAGTCAAGAGTATAAATTGGTCACTGACCTGGCGCTAAGATTACATTATCTCCGTCTGCAAGAGCAACACACCTGTTACCAGAGCAACCTCCTTCCTTGGGAGTTTCCTTACCTAAGGAGTTTAAGTCACTGTATTATCATGAGTTTTAAAGAGGCAAATTGCTACTTAAAAAAAAAGAATTGCTACTTTGACTTCAATTGCCATACTCAGAATATTCACTATGATTTTCTCAAGAAAAGTTCTCTTTTTGCGCCGGCCTCCCCTCATATAATAATTATATACTATATTTAATTCATTAGACATTGTAGAATAACTCCGCTTAAGTTTCCCCCCATTATATTCAAGCTACTCATGTTTAAGATGCCTAAAATGTTTATAAGTTTAAATTATTATTAAGAAACTTACATTGGTTAACAGTGTCAGAAGCCCACAGCACCCTTCTGTTAGCACCGTAGAGAACCAAATTGTTATCATTTTGTGCCACAAGCCTCAGATTTTCCGATCTTCCATACCAAACCCTACGCTCTTCATGACTGTCCCAAACTATTTGCTTAGTTTTATCATCATACAGAACCATGCGTCCATCCCTCTAAAAAGTAGGACGATAATTAAAAATCTTTCAGAAATTTTCACCCCAGAAAAATTAAACGCAAAATTAAAAATCCTACTTTTACTCAATGCAAGTTTTAATCAATTTTGTAGTTATGTACATGAATAAAAAGTACATAATAAAAAGTACATAAATAAAAGACCAATCACCTGGATAACCAACCCCTTGCGGACAGAAACACCCTTAGTACCAGTTTCCCATATCAGAGTCTCATCTCTGCAGTACAGGGCCAGGTTACCGGTCCTCTTCATTATCAGGTACGTTTCCTTGTTGTCTGCTGTTAATTTCTTGTCAGTTTCGAATACAAAGTCTCCCCTGGATAATAGTCTGGTGCATGTGTTACCTTCACATCCTTCTTTTTCCTCTACTGGGGTAGGGGCTGAAAGATATGAGTCATGAAAGAGATTTTGAAGAGATTTGACTTGGTAAACGGTATTCTAATTGATCTAACACAATGAGTTTACAACTATTGTTACGAACTATATTATATATAATAGGCAACTGGAATGAGCTATTTGGACAAGTTAATCCTTTCTGTTGCTTGGCAGAATGTTTGTTAATTTGAAAATTTCCTATCATACGTCAACCTGTAAGTCTCTAGTTGAACTGTAAAACGATATAGTAAGACTAGTGTGTGGAAATCTTCAACACAGTCTTCCTTACGGTTGTACAAAAGGAAATAAAAGAAAAAGAACCACCATCCTTACCACAATCTTTCTCATCATATCCGTCCAAGCAATCTGATTCACCATCACACCTCCAAGAAGCTGATATACACCTTTCTGGGCAAGTGAACTGATCGTCTTTACACAAAGTTTTCTCTGTTGGTGTTGTTTCCTCGGTGCGTTCCTCTTTTAGTTCCTCGGTAGTCAATGATATCTTTCTTGTCACCACTATAACTGGCGCTGTGGTCCCCGTTGCTTCTTGTACTTCTGCCAATTTTCATTTTATTTTATACACAAATTAAGTTAATTTTCTTACATACATGAATTTTTCATTTAATGCCCAACGTTTTATGCTCAACTATTATACATCTTCCAATTTGTATATTCTTGCAGAGATAATGATCCCAAAATTTACTTTAAGATTTGTATTACCATACGGATTACGGACCTTCTGTGGAAGAAAAGGCAAGCGAGAGGGAACCTTCATAGTCCCAAACTTGAGTGGAAACTCTTTCAGTTCTCTTATAACAGTTTCCGTCTCGGGAGCCGAACGTTTTCTTGTATAGAACGTTTCCTCTGTTCTTTATTGCAACGTGATCCCTTGTCTTCTCCACCCTGAGATAATAGATATGTTTTAATACTTTCAACACTACTATATAACAAATAATTTGAGGCTCTAATGATGTAGTTTTACGAAGATTCCAAGCCTTACGTTGTGTGTTTCCCTTCGTGTCCAAAAGCATTATACATATATTTTATGTGTACAAAGCATATCATAATCGCCATTCAATATTATAATAATCATCATAATTGGTACTTTCAATTTGCATGGTTTTGTTGAACACAAGTTACGTTTGATTAACAATTATCTATGAACTTAGGGGATAATAATAAGTAAAAGTTTGTAAATTTAAAGGTATTTTAAAATTTTAAAAACTATAAAAAATCTTACTCCACAACCATGAACCGTCCATCATCCTCGCATTCCCACTCCCTGTAGATGTTGAAATCTGTTACTTCTCCACCGTACCAGCTTTTGAATCCAGCTTTGTTACAATAAACGTTACCCCTAGTTTTACTGAAGAGCTCAATGTGGGAGTTCTGTTCATCTTCAGCATTCAGGAAGAGTTTGAACCAGATGGAGTCGGAGCAAGGGAATCTGACGTAGTATGTTTCTTCTTCTTCCATGTTGACTGCTAGGTTAAGCCTGTCACTCAGTGAGAAGTCACGCCAATCTCTTGTTTCCCGTTCATTATCTGAAATATACGATGGTGCATATTCAGATAATAGATATATAAACTTATTTTGAACTTTTCAAAGCATTTAGAATGTAGATGGTGTATGATCATTGTAAATGAAACAAATCTTTCAAATAAAATCTCGATTTTCCACCCACACAACCGCCGAGCACTGACCTTGGCACCTTCGGGCATATTGAACAGAAACTGGTTCTTCTGTCCCCAGTTTGAATGTTACCGTATTAATGCTGCTCAAAAACTGCTCTTTGGCAGTTGTTAGCTCTTCGTATGGAATTGTGATCATAACCTGGAAGATAATTTGTCAAAAAAAATGTATCAATTTGATGGACATTTATGATTTTAATGTTATCATAAATCAAAGAAAATGCGAACACAATTTACTATATAGAATCCTTTTTTAGCAGAATCACAGTACAGTGATCTTCCCGAATAAATAAATAATAAATAATAAAGCCTGGCACCTTATCCCCACATCTGAGAACAAACGCAGACTCGTTGAACTCAAAATCGTACTCCCGTCTCCCTTCCTCATCTGCCTCCGGAAAGCTAACATCAACCCACTGATACCCCCACTGCTCCGTTCCCTGTGTAAACACACTGTTTTGCACTGCTATGTTCCCACGCTCTGGATGTAGTCCTATCAGGAGCATATCTTTGGTATCTGCTGAGAATGTGACGTCACCATTCCAGGTGTCTCTCCTTCCATACCAGGAATGTGTTCTGGCACTTGGTTCACCGGAGGATACTACCCTCAGGGTACATTCTGTGCGGTATTTGGTTGGTACTTCGTGTTCGGCTGTCGTCAGGGTGTCGGGAACAAGTTCTGTTGTTGCCTCTCGGGAATCAGCATCAAAGCACTTTCTTTCAGCAACGTCCCATCCAGTAGCGTCATTTGTTGACAACTCATAGTCCCCAATGATAAAACACTCTGTCCAATACCAGAACATGGGACTCGTTACCACTGCTTGACATCTGGAATAAATTTAATGCATTTAATACATTTAATAATAATATATTTGATATTTATATAATGTTAATTTATATATTTAATACATTTGATCATGCAAACATTAATTGAACGTCTGTGAGCAAATTTTATGTAAAATTTCAAGTATTTGTGACCTATCATGTTGAGGGTTTAAAGACGAGAGAGCATCTCTAAATTTAAATGATTTTGTATCTAAGTTAATTCATATTTACCCATCGATAGTTACACAGAGTTCCTTGCAAGCCCTGTCAGAAGAGTATCTAGTTTGTTTCAAAACTGTTCCTTGCGTTCTTAGATTTTCTGTAAAACAGTCGATGTCTCTTGGTTCTGTGGGTTTCTCTGTTGGTTCTGCTGTTGGTTCTGATGTTGAGTTTGTAGGCTGATCCGTTCTTTCTGTTCTTACTCGGGGTCTTGTAACTGAAAAAAGTTTTAGCTGATCAAGAACTCAATCTTGTTTCCTATTAAAAAAGAATTCTTTCGCTTAAAACCGATTAATTTTTCTATTCAGTTTATTATTATATATATAGTCTTAATACCTCCATCAAAGTTGTCGTCGAAACATTTTCTTTCAGCAGTATCCCATCCCGAAGCATCGTTTTTCGAAAGATCGTATTCTCCAATAACGAAACATTCTGTCCAGAACCAAAACATTGGACTGGTTACCACTGCTTGGCATCTGAAATTATTTGTTGTTTAAAAGTTAATGTAGATCGCAAGGATTGTTAAAAATAGCTATTGAAACTGTCAACAAAGAATCGAATGGTCAATTCAAGAGCTTATAGCTTATTGTCGCTAATTTGGAACGATTGATTAAAAAAGCTAATACACCTGTTTTTCATAAAAGGCTGACTGAAACCGGAACTTACCCATCGAAAGTCAAGCAGATCTCTTCGCAATCCCTGTCAGTAGTGTATCTAACTTGCTTCAACACAGCGCCACTTGTTCTTAAGTTCTCTTTAAAACAATCAGTGTCTCTTCCTTCTGTGGGTTTCTCTGTTGGTTCTGCTGTTGGTTCTGATGTGGTGACATTAGACCTGGAGGGAACGGACCCGGAGGGGGTTGGGGCCTTTGTGAGCACAGGTGTTGGTGTTGGTGTTTTCTCGGGTGAACTGAACCAACAACCCACAGTGTGTTCTTTTGATGGAGTCGGGGGAGTAGTTCCTTCAGTGGTAGTAGGCGTGGTAGTAGGTGTGGTAGTAGGTGTGGTAGTAGGTGTGGTGTCTCTTCTGGCTGTTGTTGGTTCTGTTGTTGGTTCTGTTGTTGGTTCTGTTGAAGGTGAACCTTGTACTGAAATAGGAGACATTTTAACTTATCGTTATTTCATCGTTCAATGATAAACAGGAGTTACCTCTTTAAAAAAAAGAAGAAAAAAAGGAGTTTGAAGATGCAATGGGAATGCAATCATAAGTGGTGAAGTAATCTGAGTGTAAGAATTAGGATTCACTTTTTTAAACGTTCTATTCAAGTCTACAATATTGTTTGTGTTATTTTGGAAATGGACATGAGTTGTTTTGTGGCTACAGCTACTTCCCAGAAGAAATGTTATCTGTTGGAAATTGAAAGTCACGTGACTAACCAGTTAAAAAGAAGATTACTAGATACAGACTATGATCAGTATCTCGTTATATTTATTTGGGATGTTTCCAAGTCGAATGATGTTTTCATTGGATTTAAAAATTTCCAAATCAGTCAGTGGCGTCAGTCTGGACGCCAAGTTCCTGGGGCTAATTGTTAATTACGGAAAGAGAGTGTTTTGATGAGGTTGAGAAATTTGATCGTTTATTTCCGATATAATCGTCAAATTAAATCTTTATTGTGAGACGAAAAGGGCCGATTTTTATCTAGTTCATCTTGGGTTTATGAGGGATAAATTTTGTCTAGCAATAATTTGGTCAAGAACGTCCTGCTATTTTTAAATTGCAGGCTGTTCTCAGTATATCGGAAAAAATGTGAAAATTTCCTTAACGGATATCATTTTCTGAGGTTGAATTTCATTATGTTGTAAAACAGCCACAACAGTTCACAATCCACCTCACCCTACAGCTACCTACCATTGTTTTTTCCGCAATTACTTGGACCCAATACATCGAATTAATCTAAATCCAAAAATTTATGAAAAACTATTTAATAACAAACAAATCCATGGTGACTAACTGTGGATATAGAGTCAAAATAGGTTTTTTTAATACGTAAAATTCCAGATACATTTGATCTACAGGTCTGCTATGGTCATTAATGTGTGAGAAGGTGTGTGGGGGAAGTGTGATATGATGTTGAAAGTATAGTAAAGTAGATAGAAAAAAATAAAAATACAAAAAAATAATATGGGGAGCAGAGAGATAAGGCTAGACTGTTGTTTCACTATCCAATAAACATTTCCATAGATGCTTAGTGACCTCAGCTTTGAAAAGACTAGTTGACACAATCTGTCTTACCAGTTTTATCCGTAATGTTTCTGGCCGCTTTAATTATTTCTTTGGGAAGTACTCTGGATCTATCTGGAACTGGATCCGCTATAATTTCTGGATCAAATACACCTGGGATTGAACTTATTAATTCAATTTACAATTACAGTATAATAAGAATAATAATAATAACGCTTTATTTGGCCGTATAAGTATATTACATTAAGTACAGTTATCCATCTTACTTATAATTCAGAGAATTCCCTTTGTCTGTACGACCGCCCACGTGCAAATCAGACGAAAAATATGAAATTGCGTAGCAACCATGGTAACGAGGGTTATTACACGCACATGTACTTGCAATGATTGTTTTAACGTCATTTTGATCGGTTTGTTGATATTACGCTCATGTGTTTAGTACGAGCAACATTTTAATTGGCTGTATCTTCGGTTGTGTAGGATATTTTTTAACGCGTTTTAAACTTACTAACAAAAAATGCTATTAGCTTCCTCCCTGTGACCACGGGTTTTCTAGTATTATAATAATATGTATTTTTCTGCATACCATCTTGAGACTATACCATCTTGAGACTATACCATCTTGACTATACCATCTTGAGACTGTACCATCTTGAGACTATATATTAATATATATTATATATATATATACAGGGTGGGCCAAAAGTCAGTGGGCATGTGTTGGCCTTAATTATAGCTCCGCCGTGTTTTATATTTGAGAGCTGTTGCTTTTCAGATGGCATACTGTACCTTCTGGTTCGAGGATTCCGTCGTCAAAATTAGAAAATTCGAATATTTTAGACCACGCCCATTCAAAATTAAAACACCTATATTGTTTTTTCTGAACATGCTGGACACCTGATGTTTTCAGAGACGGTAGATTTATAGATTATTTCATTTTGCATCTGATCTGAAAATATGACGTGAAACGGATTAGAAATGACGAAGTTATCAAGCATTTTGTGTATCTCGTTAACAAAATTGACTGGGTGATTATGTGACACCGTGACACGACACCTTAATTGGGCAGCCTTAACGATTCCCATAATGTTTAATGGGTTGGTTAACGGGGTGACCTTATCACGTGATTATGTAAGCCAATCACTTGATCACACGTAATGAATTAACTCGTTATGCTTCGTATCTCGGCCATACGAGAAGCTACAACTGTAATTTGTTCAGGACATACGTAATTCGAACTTTCGAATGGCCAAACACAATTCAATAAAATTTAGCTCGTTCCGACTATCCAAACTATCAAATAAATGTAAAAATGAACCTTCATTTGAAAAAAATGAACTCTAATATTTTTCGATTTGACAAATTCCTCGAACCAGTGGTGGTAGTAAGTCGTACCAGAAAGAATTATTTCAATTGGTCACTCAGTGACTGAGCTATTAAGGCCAACGTATGTCCACTGACATTTGGCCCGCCCTTGACCCTGGGCCAAATATATATAATCTCTACTATAATTCAAAAGATTCTTTCTGTAGGATGTACGACCGCCCACGTGCAAATTCGGTAAAAAGCAAAAGGTTGCAAAGTAACCATGGTAACGAGGGTTGTTACAGTTTGAGTTACACGCAAGTGCACGTGCAAAGATTGTTAAAACGGCATTTTGATCAGTTTTGTTGATATTACGCTGTGTTTTAGTTTAGTACGAGCAACATTTTAATCGGCTGTATCTTTGGTTGTGACGGATATTTTTTGACGCGATTTAAACTTACTAACAAAAAATACTATTAGCTTCCTCCCTATGACCACGGGTTTTCTAGTCTCTATTATAATTCAGAGAATTATTTCTGTCTGTACAATGTACGTTTGTACGACCGCCCACGTGCAAATAGATAAGAAATAGGTAGTTACATAATAACCATGGTAACGAGGGTTCAGGTTGTTAAATGCACGTGCACGTGCAAGGATTTGAGAGGGGCATTTTGATCGGTTTTGTGGTAATTACGTGGTGTTTAAAAACTTTACTATCAAAGAATACTATTAGCTTCCTCCATGTGACCACGAGCTTTCTAGTCTTACTTATAATTCAGAAAATTCCCTTTGTACGTACACTGTACACTGTACGACCGCCCACGTGCAAATCAGGTAAAAAGCAAAAGGTTGCAAAGTAACCATAGTAACGAGGATTGTTACACGCACGTGCACGTGCAATGATTGTTTTAACGCCATTTTTATTGGTTGTTGATATTAGGTTGTGTTTAGAATTAGTGCGAGCAACATTTCAATCGGCTGTATCTTCGGTTTGTGTAGGATATTTTTTGACGCGTTTTAAACTTGCTAACAAAAAATACTATTACCTTCCTCCCTGTGACCACGGGTTTTCTAGTAATTTATAAACTAAGTTTATTCATCAGCTTTGAAACGGAAAGTTGATATTCGTCCAACAACCACTTACCATTTGATGTTCCTGATGTTGAGCCTGTGGGCGCAGCAGTTGTAGCTGCCACATCTCTTATTGTCAGTCTTTTACGCTTCATACTTAAGAATTCTAGGGATTTTATTGATTTACACTCAATAAAAACTTTGTGTAATGTATAATGTATATATGTGTAATGTGTAATGTGTAATATACAATATACAATGTATATATACTATAATATACATTATGTCGAGAGCAGGGATATGTTTTCATATTCTAAAATGTAAATACATGTACTAACTACTGATGAACTATATTATATACTACTGGAATACAAAAAATATAATAAAAGTTAGAACGAAGCTTACCGTCTTCGGTGGCACAAAGAAATTGGGCATTGTAGTCTTTATGATAGTTCGTGTTTCTGACATATGGATCTTTTGCGCCTGGAACAGCACCTTCTTCCAACTTCATAATGTAACAAAGCTCATCCTCATCGCACGCTAGGATAAAACAAAAATGTGTTTTCTCTTTTATAGGCTAATCTTAATAGTTTGATAGTTAATATTATATTTCATTGTTGATTGTTTATGATTGTTTATGATTGTTTATCAATATTACCTTTAGTTCTTGTCTTGTCTGCATCATCCTGTGTACACTCATTGGGCAGGTTCACTCTGGGGTTGTAGCAAATTGGACAATTCTCTTTGCTGTAGTCTTCTAGTGCGTATCCGGCTGAAATTACATTCGTTGGTTTAACTGCAATAAGTAGTAGTAGTAGTTCAATAAATGATGTTGAACTTGATAAGTTGATATCCATAACATTTAACAAATAATTACATTTTTACAGTGGGTCAATATTTGAGCAGCACTATTTGACTAATTGTCCTATGCGGCGCACTAGGAGGCGCACTAGGAGGCGCACTAGGAGGCGCACTATATAGAGATATAGGAGGCTGTCTGTATGTACGACCGCGACCGCCCACGTGCAAATTCGGTAAAAAGCAAAGGTTGTAAAGTAACCATGGTAACGAGGGTTGTTACACGCACGTGCACATGCAAAGATTGTTAAAACGGCATTTTTATTGTTTTGTTTTCTAGTTATATATAATATATATATATATTTAGTGCCCAAAATTTGGACCCCCAAATGGTGTTAAAAACGCGAATTAAATAGGTAATAATTCATTTAGTCTCTTGAGTCTTGACACCACTTAAGAGCTTAAGGGTTAGACGGGTTCCTGCTAGTTATTTCTAAAACAACTACAATAAAGTAAAATTAAACTATGATAATTAGTTCTTTCATCCAATTAAAAGGGAATTAAAACCTTTCCCTTGAGATTCAGCGTGGAAAATGTTCGGGTCAGGTTGTCCAGCCCTGCTATCACTACCGCCATTACCAGAGTCACCACATTCCAAGTAGACATGCTCCATACAGCCCCCTCCTGTACACGTGTACGCCACTCCATCCTCATAAAACAAACAGGGAAACCGCAGTAGGGTGGAAGCTGGCAGGAACTCCTCAGCTTCACTTACTCTGTACTCCGATGAGTTACATATATCTTGGTAGGGGTTGAGTCCAGGTAAGACGGTGTAGAGTTCCGAGTTGATCTCAGCGAGGAGGAGGCCGGTTTTGTTGTCGGAGGAGTTGGGGTTTAGGAATTTCCATGTAGTTGGGGTTAACTTGAAACAGTTTGATTCCACTTGGGTGTAGCTCAGTAAAACCAATAAAAGGGATAGTAGAAATCTCATCAATTTAATTATGCTCTATATCCTACTATATGATAGTTTTCAATGGTTAGTGTAGTCGCTGGATTTTAGATATGAAGAAAATTTTGACGAAACTTATACAAAATTTTGATTTTGAATTATTGATTATGGTGAGTTATAATAAAATCATTTAAGCAGTGATATCTTTTCCAGTCTCGGCTGCCAACATGGGCCATGGATAAAATAACAACACAATTTGATGAAATGAGGATTCCTAAGATATAAAATAAAATCTCTTTATTGTAGCTGAAGAGTCTACCTTGAACAAAACTGAACTGAATAAAACTACTATACAAATTAAATAAACTTAATACCATTTAAGACTACTAGTGAAAGACTCATATCTACCTTATCTAGACTTTTATCTACCTTATCTAACTTGATTAAAAGTGACTGAATAAAACTACAATACAAATTAAATAAACTTAATACCGTTTAAGACTACTAGTGAAATACTCATATCTACCTTATCTAGACTCTTATCTACCTTATCTAACTTTATTAAAAGTAACTGAATAAAACTACAATACAAATTAAATAAACTTAATACCGTTTAAGACTACTAGTGAAAAACTCTTACCTACCTTATCTATACTCTTATCTACCTTATCTAACTTGATTAAAAGTAACTGAATAAAAACTACTTTACAAATTAAATAAACTAAATAGTGTTTGAGACTACAAATGACAACTGACTAGCCAATGACTACTGACTAGTCGTGTGACGTCAATGACGCATTGTGCGAAAATACCATGCGAGGCTAACCTTTTTATCGGATACAAAACAATGTGCAGTTTTATCAAGTTAAAATCCAATGAATATCAAGATGCAGGAATAGAATTCATCTTCATATTGTTCGGGTATGATTGACCATCTTCTTACGTCATAGATTAAAGATTAGATTAGATTTAGATATCTGACTAATTGGCACCAGCATCGAGCACGGCGGTATTTTGTTTCACCATGGTTTAGGACACAGTAACTTAAACATTAAACACTGTCAAATAAGAATTTTCCAAATTGACGCTTACCCGTACCTGCATTTTCAGCCACTTCAGCCACTTCAACCAGACCTTGACTCCCAATCACCAAGCCCAACAGCAATATTTTAAACAACATTTCAACGTAATAAATTCAAAAAGTGAGGACTCGTTCCGATTAATCCCTCGTCTAGTCTCGCTGTTATCTCTCCCAGATTATTCGGTTCAAAATTGAATTACCCAGACCCAATTTAGATAAGGTAAACTTACCTCGGCCAAATTGAAAAACTTCCGTTCCCCTGGAAATTTGGATTAGTTCCTGGGTGATGAGCCATGATATAATTAGGTAATTAGTGAACCACACGATATGAGAATAACTGGAGCGCTGTTCTATATATCGATAACGGACTTCTTTGATTAGTTTATAATTTCATAAGAATAAATAAGTTGAATAACCTGGAAAGCCCAATAATTGATTTAGGCAGTCTTCAGCGCTTTGCGTCATGTTATAAGATAATAGGGTTTGTACAATGCACAACATTTAATATTAAAAACCTGCATATACAAATCTTTGTTTAAATCGTTTTTTAAACACGTACAGGGGGGTTCACCCTGATTTTCTTAATTTCGAGATAGCAATTGACCAACAAACTAGGGATTGTGACCGAACTTTTGAGGTGGTTCCGGACTCCGGGTACCCACCACTCCACCAGGCCGGTGCCTGCCTATATTTGATCCAAATTATGCCCAATTAGGCTGGAAATCATCTTAACATGCTCAAAAACCCAGATTTTATGTGCTATACTTGTAGCTAGTGGTCCCCTGAACTCGTATTTGAATCGAATATGGGCGTGGCTGTCCCGCGGGCACCCGGAGTCCGGAACCCCCTCAAAAGTTTGATCAAAGGCTCTAGTTTGTTAAAAAATTGCTATCTCGAAATAAAATTTAACAAGAAAATTAGGGTGAACCCCCCTTGGCCCTTAAGATAATGAAATAATTGCATTAGTTGCGTAAACATTCAAGGAGTAGGCAATGCCCACGAATTTGATAAAATTTTTCTTAGAATTTGGCACGTTGAGTAGCTACACAGCACTATCCCGCATATTTCCTTGTGTTTAGACAAAGAAATCGCAAACATTATAAAATTACTATGTCACCTTATTATGTATATATATGGACAATTAAATTAAATTAAACTGGTCAAACTTTGGACATTTACCTATAAATCAAAAACAAGTAAGATGGTAGCTTTATAAGAACACGTCGTCTAAATGCTGAATGGGATATAATACTATGTCATGAACAGCTTCTAAAACCATTGCTGGCACATAAATGTCTTAGTTTTTACATGGCGAAATCGGACCTTTACTGATAGTTGAAATTCGACATATGACGTCATCTAGCGTCATCTAGCGTCATCTAGCGTGAAATATCGCCAGATGATGATAGATGACGCTAGATGACGCTAGATGACGCTAGATGACGCCAATTAGCGACATTGTCGCTAAGTGCACGGCACCTTTCGAATGTCGCTATCTAGCGCTATCTAGCGCTATCTAGCGCTATCTAGCGCTATCTAGCGCTATCTAGCGCTATCTAGCGCTATATGACGCTATATGACGCTAGATGACGCTAGATGACGCTAGATGACGCTAAGCACGCAGCACTGACGCCAGGCGACAGATAGCGCTAGTTTCATAAAAATTCTAGGGACGACATCTAGCGTCATCTAGCGTTATATGTTGCCGCGACATCTGACGCTATCTGACGCTATCTGACGCCATCTAGCGACATCTGACGACATCTGACGCGACGACATCTGACGCAGGCGACATCAAGCGCTGGATAGCGGGATAGGTCAGTTCACGACAGTTCACGCTATCTAGCGCTATATAGCGCCAGATAGCGCTATATAGCGTCAGATGTTGTTGCGACATATAGCGCTAGATAGCGCTATCTGGCGTCATCTAGCGTCATCTAGCGTTATATGTTGCCGCGACATCTGACGCTAGATGACGCTAGATGACGCCAGATAGCGACATCTGACGACATCTGACGCGACGACATCTGACGCAGGCGACATCAAGCGCTGGATAGCGGGATAGGTCAGTTTACGACAGTTCACGCTATCTAGCGCTATATAGCGCCAGATAGCGCTATATAGCGTCAGATGTTGTTGCGACATATAGCGCTAGATAGCGCTATCTGGCGTTAGATAGCGCTAAATAGCGTTAGATAGCGCTAAATAGCGAAGAATTTCGGGTCGTGTCAGTCCAGGCTATTTAGCGCTAGATGTCGCTATCTAGCGCTATATGTTGCTGCGTCAGATGTCGTTGCGTCATATAGCGCTAGATATCATATCCTATCACAGTAACAGTAACCCTAACCCTGTGTGTGTGTGTGTGTGTGTGTGTGTGTGTGTGTGTGTGTGTGTGTGTGTGTGTGTGTGTGTATAGGGTGCCAAAATTTTCCGCGCTTTTGTCCTCATATGCAACGTGTGTAGCCTTTCAGACATTGATTGCGTAAACGAGGTGTCATACGTCACCTCAAGATCGGGTGACAGGGGCTGACCATGCCCGAACCTGATTAATCATTGATTGGGTCTGAGGTCACGTAATTATGAGCCTATGATGTATGAGCTGTCACGTGACTATGACGTCACCAGACCTTGTAGTCCGTTTCCCGCTCATTGGACCAGGTGAGCTTGCATGCTTGTGAATGTAAATGTAAGTACAGCTGTACTGTAGTTTATACCTAATTAACCCCTATACACTGTCACTATGCACTATAGGAACCTGAAAAGTGGTTACTGCATACTGGAGGGAGAAGTGCCAAGACTACATGCGCTACATAGACGCTGTTGTCAGCACTGCGCGCGCGCGCACGAACCTTCACATTAGGGTTCGTGGACTTGAACTCTGAAACAAGCGCGCCCGAAGTGGCGCGAAAGCAAGCACATGGTTAGGTGAAACATCGTCAATATCAATTATTATATCAACTCCAAAATCCACTAAATTTTCGGACAGTTGTGAAAGCCCTATTGGAAGGTTTTTTGATTCACAAATTTTCAGAATGATCTCATTCAAGGAACCAAAAATATATCCGAATAATACGTCAAAAATCCTCGAATTTCGATAAAGTACGCAAGTTTTAGATTAACTTTTGCTCCCGCAAAGCCACGCATCACCAATTTTGGCACCTATGCGAAAGTCACTGATGATTCCAAAAACGTATGACAAAAATTTATATTGTAAAAAGGCTCACACTCTCCAAAAAATGTGAACAAAAATTTTGAAAATCCGAGCAACTTTATTTTTATCGTGCACCTCCAACTGGAAAGACGAAAGGTATAAGGTATGACTATGACATCGTCAACATTCGCCAAACCATCAAAACATTGATTTTCTATCACGCGCCGCTTTTTCTCAAAATATTAGTCCAAGCCAAGAAGTACGAAGTAGCGCACGTCGCTTCGGGCTAGTCCATTAACAATGATCAAATAATTTACTTGTTCGTACAAAATTTAGCACATATTATACGTTACTAAATTGCAAGTTATTCTGCTAATTAAGCTATAAGCGTTACTGTGCCGCGCCGCGCATCCAATTATGCTTCTCGCTAGATCTGCGAAATGCGCTTCTGTGCCTCGCCGAGCTGCGATGAATTGACATCGTCAATTAAGGCTAGATAACTTTGATAGCTTTGGGGTGAGGGTTTGGATTCAAATGTGACATGATAGCCCATGTGTCTACGCGTACTGCGTGGACTGTCGCAAACCGACATTCTTCATTAGCTAGCGCTAGTTTACGCTAGATAGCGCTAGATGGCGCCGCGCTATCTAGCGCTAGCTGTCGCCACGCTAGATAGCGCTAGATAGCGCTATCTAGCGTGGACTGTCGCAAACCGAAATTCTTCATTAGCTAGCGCTAGTTTACGCTAGATAGCGCTATCTAGCGCTATCTAGCGCTAGCTGTCGCCACGATATCTAGCGCTAGATAGCGCTAGATAGCGCTATCTAGCGTGGACTGTCGCAAACCGACATTCTTCATTAGCTAGCGCTAGTTTACGCCAGATAGCGCTAGATGACGCCGCGCTATCTAGCGCTAGCTGTCGCCACGATATCTAGCGCTAGATAGCGCTATCTAGCGTAAACTGTCACAGACCGACATTCTCCGCTAGATAGCGCTAGATAGCGCTAGATAGCGCTAGATAGCGCTGCGTCAGATGTCGTTGCGACATATAGCGTTAGATAGCGCTAGATAGCGCTAGATGTCGCAAAAAAAAAGGCGGAAATTTTATGAAACTAGCGCTATCTGTCGCCTGGCGTCAGTGCTGCGTGCTTAGCGTCATCTAGCGTCATCTAGCGTCATCTAGCGTCATATAGCGTCATATAGCGCTAGATAGCGCTAGATAGCGCTAGATAGCGCTAGATAGCGCTAGATAGCGACATTCGAAAGGTGCCGTGCACTTAGCGACAATGTCGCTAATTGGCGTCATCTAGCGTCATCTAGCGTCATCTATCATCATCTGGCGATATTTCACGCTAGATGACGCTAGATGACGCTAGATGACGTCATATGTCGAATTTCAACTATCAGTAAAGGTCCGCGAAATCTAGCAAAAACACGATGTATCGGATTGTTAACTGTTAAATGACAACACGTGAATAGAACTATGTTGTCGTGTTGGGTAATGCTGGACCACATAATTCAGAATCACCCTTACCTGGTAGCATGGGTTATATTATTAATTTATTTGTACATTTATATTAATAATCATTAATTAGAATTAGTAACTATTTATAATTATTAGGTCCAATTGCTTCAAACAGTTTTTACCATTTAATTTTGATCCCAAAGCACTTTCTGTTGGAGAAGTCAGGATTGTCCCTGTGAATTCCATAGGAGCCATTGATCTCACTGAAGTTGATTAACACTGATTTTGATAGCTTGCCGTGGAAATTCTCGAGATTATTTATAATTTGGGAATTTACAGCGGCTTTTAATTTAATAAATCAAAATTCCGATATTGACATCATCAGCCGTAAAATGTTACTCAAATTTGCATCTCCAACACTGAATCCCACTCAATCAGGGTTTGACTGTACACTGTACAGTGCAGTGTACAAGAGTAACTACATGTAATAGTAATACAACTATTAGCAATACCACTATTGTGCAACATGTTGGAAATAAACCGACCATACTTACAATCTATAAATAGATCACCTATTCCATCTTCACAAAGAGCTAGCATATCTGTTGACAAATCTGCGACCAGTTTCATGAACTCAGGTCCTAGCCCTGTTGAAGACACGCAGTTTGAATATTTTCGCAAAGAGTTGCAAAAACGACCTACTAGTTCCCATTGCTTTATCGAATCAGCTGTTTCCATCTGAAATCCCTGAAGAAATGCGATGTTTCTTAACCTCCATATTTCTATTCGATACAAGGGACCTTTAAAGCTTTAAGTATTCATGTATATAATATGTTGATGATTTGATTTGCGATAAATCGATTAAGAACTTGATTATCTCTGTACCTCAGCGATATGCTTCATTTTATCAAGTGTTTCCGTACATCTTTCCAGGGATCGACCATCCAATTCTAGCGGCACTTCTACCGACCCATTAATCTCTGAAGGGCCCAAATTTGAGTGTCCTACCAAAAATGCGAGCAGGTGGCCCTTATCATGCGCAGCGAAGGGCAAATTGCTCGAATAAGAGGACCGTACAAATTAATTAAGGGGGGGGGGGGGGGGAGGGTCTTCATCAAAATTCTCTCGAAATTGACTTTATAGTTGTTTCTGATAGAGGAAAATTAATTAATTAATTGCTCAAATAAGAGGACCGTACAAATTAATTAAGGCAGATAATGTAGCATTGATGTTTGAGCGTAAAAGTAAAGACAATTTTTAAAAGTCATTTATTGAAGTACCTGTGTCTGTGATTGATTGAGTCGACCTAGCTGTAAACCCAGCTGTGAAACCAAAGAGAAACAATCTAAACAACATTTTAACGTTGACAGTCAAATAATGTGCCTTTTCCCAGCCATTTCTAATTTTGTTGAACCTCCTTAAATATAGAACATACCAATTTTTCTTATCACTCCTTCTCTGATAGGTTGATTAGATTTTAAATTAAAATCTAATTAGCAGTTTGGTATTAACACAATATCTCAGATGGTATGATATCTAAACCCAGTTTGCCCGGATCTAAGCCAATTTTTTATCAGTGATTTCAAGGAAAGGTTCCTCATCGGAACTTGTACGGTAAATATTCCCTTAATAGTGTGGCAAAGTGGAAGTCATATCATTTCGGAATACATTTTATCACCATGATGAAACCAGGTTCAAGCGATTTCCATAATTCACGATTTTTGAAGAGGGCCATTTTAAATGCACACGTTTTGATTTTTCATTGAGAAACATTTTAATAATAAATACAATAGTTAGAATTAGATTTAAAATCAAAGTAACAAAGCATCTATAACACAATAAAATTATTTGATAATTTAAAGAGGTTTGGAAACTTGAAAGACTATCAGTATAGTCTATAGTATAGTCTATAGTATAGTCTATAATATAGTCTATAGTATAGTCTCTGGTATAGTCTATAGTATAGTCTATAATATAGTCTATAGTATAGTCTCTGGTATAGTCTATAGTATTAATAGTCTATAGTATAGTCTATGGTATAGTCTCTGATAATTTACAATATTCCTCATCTTCCCCATTGAAACAATCTGGCTTTTAGATTTTCCTGTTATTTTCACGGACCCTTTATCCCAAAAGCACCAGCTTTCGATTCAATCCCAAATTCCCGGAAAACTTGAAATCCAGTCATCAACTGATAAGGTCGTTCAACCCTAGTAACAGAAATTATCTTTCAAATTACACGTACTAAAAATCTAGGTAATTGAACTACCAAAGTACCCCGAAAACCTTCTTGAGAATTCATGTATGCATAAACTTGAACTCAAGTACCATTTAAATCCCGCTCAATTAAAGCAGAATAATCAAAGTCCATATTTTCCAAAATTGTGTCGCTCGCTACAATCATGATGATAATTGGGAGGGCTTGTTTTTCTTATTGCACTCATCTGCCATTCAAAGATTTCGAAAAATTGTCAACGTATTTTAACGTCGAAAAACTGACTGTGCCAAATGATTATTTGCACGTTATCGAACGGTTTTGCTTGTTGCCATAAAGTTGGAATTCAGAGGTTCACACTCCATACTATGAATAGGTGTCTATAAATGAAGAATGTTTAAACTATTTAAATAGATATTTTAACATGGATGCTTCCTACTGAACAGTGAACACTGCGATGTTAAACAATTTATGAATTATACATTATACATTATACATTATACATTATACATTATGAATTATACATTTACATACAATGTATAACGTAACACTTGGTGTCAGTAAGTTCAGTGTACGGTGGTCCGCTGTTTACGCTAACTGAATATGTACTGTAGGAATATCTTCCCTTGCCAATCTGTAGACTGTATTATGTTTCCACTAGATGTTTACCTTATAATATACTCATTTTATTCAGAAGATCGTAGTTTCATTGCATCTGAAGTAGCTATCAGTTCGCCGGTCATTGTTGGGTATAATACCCTTATAATATACTTTCATTTGTATAAAGATGGTCTCCAGATACAGTGCACTTATGAGCTGTATAATTGCCTTATATAGTAAAATCCCGATTTACCGCGGAGTTTGGGGAAAGGAAACATCCGCTGTAAATCGGGGTTTGCGGTAAATCGGGGTTTTGTTTGTTTACATTATGCATGTTAAGCCCTATTTGGGGAAAGGAGATGGCCGCGGTAAATCGGGGTTTGCGGTAAATCGGGGTTTTAATGTACACAGTTACAAGACGTGTACCTGAATTCTGACTATAATAATTGCAGACAAAATGTACATATTTTACAAATTAACGGAATAGCTTTCAATCGTCTAGTAATTTGATTTGCAACGCTTTTGTTGAAACTTATGTAAAATTGTAAAGTTAGGACACCCATTTTGTCCAATAATTACATTACCCTGGAATTCCATGATACATAATATTAACATTGTCTTGGTTACACGTGTCACAGAATTGTTTTGCTTTAGATAAGATTAGGAACAAATGTCAATCAAATAAAAAAGAAACGAATCATAAATTCTTTCCGTGCTTTTCAAATATTCCAACGTATTTAAATAGGTGGCAATTTTTCTCATCAACCTACCTAATTATTGAACAAATTTACAAAATTTAATTTATTCAGAAGTTTAGAAGTAGGCACAGTCATCACACAATCCGTGGTTATTTTCCACCCCATCACCTTCAGCTGACGACGATTAACACATGTTTATTGAAAGCTTCTACAAGTTAAACCATCGTATCTCTTACATGTTTCTAAACCAACTCCATTCACTGTGGTTACAAGTTTTTGTAGTGTATCCAGGGGTCATGAAACATTTCCCGTATTAAACTTTTATATTTTCAGTGTCGAAAAGAGATAATGGCAGCGTTCAACGTGGCTGAAAGTGCCCTGAAACCCTCCCCATATCTGGTATTTGACGACGTTTACGATTCGCATTCCACACAAATAGCCGAGCAAAAAGAGCACCTAGAAGAACATTTGAAGATCTACGGAGAACATTACAATCTGAAAGATTACGATGTTTAAGAAGAGAATTTAGGATTTACTTACTTTGGAAAAATTGTTGTGATTTGTAAAACAGGCACAGGGTTTCCTTTCGTTTTTGTTATTATTTATAAATAATAACTCGGTCGACAAAATTCGTATAAATACGACTTTTGTCGACCGAGTTTGGTTTTGTATATATTATATACATGTACTTACTTACTTTATGCTACTTAATATTTATTATATAATACAATATGAATCATATCTACTATTAAAATTAATTCAATCGTATTATAGTACGGAATTTTGTTATTTCTTTTTTGGGGGAGAAAGGTAGAGGTGTAGTTGAATGTCTTAGATTTTGTGAAATATTGTTGTAAGTTAAATTCTTTTTCCATTCCGTTTTGAAACTCATGATATGAGCTTGTATTAATTGTACACAAAACATTTCTCTCACATAAAGCTATAAAGGTAAATATATTTAATCATGTTTGACCCTCCCCTGGTATTCCCCATCACCCCATTTGGCCACTGTACATTCTTAAGTCTTGCATCTCAGCATGCCTCAATTGTCCCTCCTTACGGCTTTGAACTGTTTGAAGCCAATTGCGTTGTACTTAATGCCTAAATTGGTGATAGCCAACTCATAACCGTAACATCTAAGATCTTTGCTCAAACGAATAAATCTCTAATAAAGTTCAACCGAAAAGGGAAGGCTTCGAATAGAAAGGTATAGTGAATAATATAGTGATCAAGTTTGCTCTTCTATCACTCCAGTTTGTGCACGCTTCCCTGTGGACTGTGGAGGTCATTTGCGGAGGTCGCACCTGGTTGTGGTTTCGCTTACAAATAGAAGTGGATGGATGGGTCTACATAATATAGGATACGGAAAACGCTGAGACAAATTTTGCTAATACTGTTGCGCTATTCGTGCCGCGCGTAATTCAAAGCTAAGGCGCTTAGGCGCAACGCGCGCGCGCCTTAATTAACGTACGTTCAGATATATCTTCAGACTGGTTTAAAATATGGTACTATTCGATTTTATCGACCGTCCCAATATATTCAGTAATTATTTTTACTACCTTACCCCGCTCTAAGACAAAAATGTTCTTTTGTCAATAAAGGCTTTAGTACAATCATACAATGAAAAATATACGGGGAATTACGAAAAATAAACCATTCCACCTTCTATTCATAAGCCGCGCGTCCAAAGTTAAATTTATCGAATTATCAATAACTTTGCGGAAATCCGCCTCTAAAATTTATTGGCGGGACATTTTGAGCGGTGACCTTAATCTTGACGTTTCTGCTTCACTGACTATTCTGAAATTGTTTGCTGCTATTTCAGGGTTCCGTATTTTGGCATCTGCTAATATTCCATTTAATAGAAAGTGCTATGTTTCGGAAAAGTATGTCCCGGAAGAAGTATGTTCCGAAATCATTTAAGATTTCACAGGGCATCAGCAGTTAACTATGCACAATTTATTATCTTAAACGGAAACGGCATCTCCACAGTTAAGCGAGGTTCTTGCTGCATCGCGGACAGGCACCTGGTAGGCACACCAACATATAGCTAATTCTGGGTCACCACACTTTTCTTAAGAAAGTAGAGCTGCCATTTTCGCCATGTGAAATGTCATCTCCATCCCTGCTATTTCTAGATTATAGATAATTTGACCTAAAGAGTCATGGCTCTTTAAGTGAACAGTGTATCTTAATACCCTGAACAATATAGCCGTTGTTTGTCGGTACAGTTGCATTTGATCGAAAATTTTTCCTTGCGCCGTTAAAATGTTAAAGTTTACACCGTCAAACTTTAACAGTTCCCTATGAATATAATACCAGTGTAAAGGGCAGAGGGGGGAGGGTAAAAATTATTTGTTTAGTTTTAACAAATGTGATAAAGCTGCCGGAGACGAACAAGTAGGAAAACCGTATTAAAATCTGACCTTGCGTTCCTGAGATATTTGTCGTAGTCACCTTTATATTGGGCTATTATCCAGCTCTAATTTTGGCTCGCTAGTCAAGATTCAAACAGTTAGATCAAGACCACAACATTGCAAATATTTTGTACTAAGCAATGCAATCATGATTCATCGTTTGCTAAGCATTATAGGATCGGCATTTATATAGATCATTTGATTTGTTTCTATTAATAGATTATTGCGTTGTCAGCTTGTCCCAGCACCTGCTGTTAAATGGAATGTTAAGTTTGGTGGTTTTCTATTTAAGTGAAGATTGTCTGAGATCATAGCATTTTATTTCCCACCTTAGTTAAGAATTTATGATTTACGTATTTAGCATCACTAAATACCTCACAGTTTAGAATTCCGATCAATCTGAAAATATCTAAGATGATCTCAGGCTAGATTGACGAAGCTACTGGTATCGATTGTCTTTCCATTTGATGTTGACGACATTGTCTACATCTTTATTCTTAAGCCTTTGATCCACACTTAGGAATTTTTGGTTTACTTCTTTTAAACTCCTGCCTGGCACAAAGTATGAATGGTATTTTACTGCTTCTTTATATAGCGTTTCCATGACCATGTACGTGTCAATTATATTCACTAGCAGGAACCCGTATAATATAACCCTAAACGGTGTCAAGACTCAAAATACTAAAATAATTATTACCTATTTAATTGGCGTTTTTGACACCACTTGGGGGTCCAAATTTCGGCTCTAAAATCATTATTCCTTGGCCAATTTTTTATTTTTTCATGCTGATTTGAAGGCCATTAAAGCATTTGACCCAGCCAAAAAAGTTCCAGTTGTATATCTTTTACGGTTTATGCGGAAAGTCGCGTTAAAGTTGATGCCGCGGTGTCAGTAAAATGGCACAGATATATATATATATATATATATCGTCTCGCTTTATATATAGTAAGATGCCCACAGTTCAATGTTTTAACCAACCATACCAATATACCATACTTTATACTCATTAACTTATTATCTTTTTACTATATGTTTTAATTGCTAGTCCTTAGAAGGGTACTCTATTAACAGTTTTTGACTGATTTGATTGTCCTGCACAGCAGATTGAAGCATCTCTCAATTATTTACTATTATTATTGTATTGCTGTGTAAATTTGATTCTAATTCTAATATCCGATCGTGATTAAACCCTGCTTTAGTATTAAGTCATGGTTTTCAATATTTACGGACATTATAACTGCACTGATCAGAACTTCACAAGCCATGTTTTTGGTTGTTTTACTAAAAACTTGAAAAGTTTAGTTTGTCCATTTCATCCCCGTCACCGACAGAATTGACAAATGACAGAGCAGACGAAATTTCTTAATGAATTCTCATATAATCGCTTAGTTAATTAACTAAGTAATTAACTAATTACTTAGTTCTCATACTAATATGCAACCCTGTCCGTTTCATTTAAAAAGTGTCGATCAAATCGGGAAAATAGCTATTAAATCATTCAGTGTCACTCTCTGGGAAAGTTATCTTTACTTTAAAATGCTTCCGTGAACTGTTAAATATTTTCTGAAAAGTGTTAGAACTCCTCCTACAGTATCTGTCATCACAATTATAGACTCTATGTGGGAAGTTCATACTTTCACTTTTTGTTTTTTCTGAGTTATAATATATAACTTATATTTAGGTTTGTCATGTTTCTGTCGTATTTGTTTTATGTACAATTGGAAGAATACCGCAAAATGATTTAACATGTTAAATTCATTTCTATCTAAAACTCGTTCCACTGCTATGCTTCAATACATTGTTTTGCTTTCAAATAGTATAGAAGTTATGGTCGTCATCAGGCGACATAATACTAATATCCAGTCTCGAATACATAGAAAATGTCATCCTTCCGCATTTTTCAGGCCTTTATTATTTAATGTCCGAGCCTTATTTTAGATTCATTGCGGGCATTGACTTTAAATGCTGTAAAGGTGGAGTAATGGAAGAAATTAATATAATTACTATGGAGCGGAATTTGGCTAATTTTAGGGGCGGGAATTAAATCCTACTTTATCGGGCACGCGATGAAATGGTGGTGTTGCGAAATTTTAAAATTATTACTCAATTCCCATTATCATTGCAATGCATTGTGTCCTTAATAAAGACTCTCTACCAGTGATTTAACCCGCAGTTACCACGTGGTACCCGTTACATCACCTTCCCAACAAGTCGCTCGCTAAAAACATTATTCAATCAGGATAAAATCCTTATCTCCGGAACACGTGATCGGCTTTTGTTCTCCTGAGTGGCTAAAACAAAAGTCACGTGGAACCGTTCCGGGCTCTGGTTGGGTGAGAGAAAGGGGTCCGTGACTCTGTGAGTTACAAAAGTGCTAACTGAGGATGACCTCACCTTCCTGCAGAACCACTGGTCCATTGTTTTCATCTGTGGGTGTTGAATTACCGCTTTCTCGGTTTCTCGCACGGGCCGTTCTCATTGGTCCACACATACCACGTGACTGCAATACCAGGACGCTATTAGTTTTAATGAGTCACGTGGCCGCAGTTCTCACAGCGTATTGGTGGGTTGTTGTTGATCAGCCAGGTGGGAGGTAAAAATAGCACTTTTCTAACATAGTCAGTTGTTCTGGTGGTAGCAGCATCGTCCCTTTAATCAAATTAGGTAGAGCAGGTGTACACTACTTTAATATTATGAGGGGATCATCTAGGAACGTGAACTATGTTCCCAGCTATTTTGGGAATGGAACTTAAATTAGTTCAGCTAGTTCACTTGTCTAGCGATGTATATATTTCGTGTCAGACCTTCTAGATTGCCCTTTGCGACTCTCTGTGTAGATATTTTTCAAACTCTGAAGTCTGAACTATACCTCTGGTCTATTTTTCCTGGAAATTGCAATGGAATACATTTAAACAGTTCTTCCGAAATTATATCTCTGATAAAATGTAACCAGTTCTAGTTATTATAGTAGTAGTTCGAACTTTGGCAGAATATAGAAATATGAACATTAGCCAGATATGAATGATATAACCTTAGAGAGGCTGTCAAGTTATATTTAAGCACTAGCAAGCACTGCAGGTAATTATATTCCTTGATATTCTCCCCCCTCTCCCTCTCCATCGAGTTCTGTCCTTACATAATCTGTTCTATTTTTAGCTCCTGTCAAATTCCACTGAGTAGCTCTCTCTCTCTCGCTGCTATCGTCGCTAGCGGTATACGTTTTGTCATGTAATCAAGCTGCGTATAAAGTTGACTCGAGATGGGTGACGTAATTTTCGCTGGAGTTGGCAGGTTTCCAGCTACTATAACTCACCTTGTTTAAATAACCAGCCCGTCCTCTTTGCAACCCAGCCCCTCCAACCCTGGCCTAACCCTCCCAGAAATTTCCAGAAAAGTCCGGTGAAATGAGTGGGTAGGACTGATTATCCCAGTATTTGCAACAAATCACAGGCACACAGCCCAGCATCATACACACA